CAAATTATTTCGCAGTTAAAAATGTTCAATTTTTTTAGCTAAGGAAAAAATATATTTAAAAATTTAAAATAAGATTCTACGTAAGTAGATACTCCTAATAAGATACTGTAACCAACAAATTTAAAAAATATATAAGAACAGTTTCTTTTACAATTATTTGAAGTTCAAGGTTGGTCGAAATTAAGTATACCTATGTAGTGCAGTAATTTAAAAAAACCATTTACTATGAAGTATTATCTATTATTTATTACCATTTAATTAAGTACAATAATATTATTATTATGTTATCGTAATTAGGTAATAGTTATTGTAAATTCGGTGAATTGCAGCATGTCTAATGACAATGGCTATTATGTTAAACCAGTTTTTGAACGGATAGTGAGTTCGGAGAGTACACAATTACGAATTACACACACTAATGTTCATTTACTTCCAACACATTGACACGGACCCATATGCACTGCAATATAAATTGCCTAGTTTTTACTCCTTAGAATGGACTACGCTCCAGCCCCCTTAACGGTAATACTTTACAGATTTATCTTAAATCATGCTAGGTACTCAGTATACCTCTGGCGGACGAGCGATTGATATTATATAAATAAATCGTTTACTGAAATTTTCATATAACCCATATAAGTATATAAACATATATAAGACAACATTTTCGATATTATCTGTGATATTGTCTGCACTTTATCGACGTCCACTATTATATTATTATCTTAAGGGGATGGGAAGCGGCGATTTTCTGTCTTTGTCTAACACACGTGCAACATAGGATTATAGACGTGTTCTATTTCCAACGTACCGATTAATCTAGTGAAGCGATAAGAATTCCGAAAACAGATTTGAATTTGTCGTCAAATCTACTTGAGATCGACTTTCCCACATTTTTTATATTTTGATTAAAACTTCTCCAAAAATTGAAATATGTCAATTTTTTAATTACTCTTTTTAATATATCACTTTTAAGATTTTTGGGGGATAATATCAAAAATGTGGGTAAGTCGATCTCAAGTAGACTTGACGACAAATTCAAATCTGTTTTCAGAATTCTTATCGCTTCACTAGATTAATCGGTACGTTGGAAATAGAACACGTCTATGATCCTATGTTGCACGTGTGTTAGACAAAGACAGAAAATCGCCGCTTCCAATCCCCTAACAAATTTAGTTTCACTGCCTCGCGCACTTAAAAGTATAGAAGGACCACTGAGAAGGTTTTATACAGTAGATCAGAGTTATTCAAACTTTATCATCCCGCGGCTCCTTTGTGTGTCCACAATTGTTTTACGGATCACAAATTATTATGAAGAATTGAAACAATACGGATACAATATTATAGCCAATATGGGTGATAATAATAGTGACTTTAATAGTTTAATACTAGAAATAAAACTTCAAATACCTAGTCGGGTAATGTGTTTCATTATCGTTTCCATAATCGCTTCAATGTTAATAAATTATAATTATATTAATTATACATGACCTACATTAATTTTGGTTTCTGGTGCTTTTTACGTGGCTCCCTTCCACAACTTTTTTAACTCCCCTGGGAGCCGCGAAGCACAGTTGTCAGTTTGAATACCTCTGCAGAAGAGAGTAGAGACTTAAGTCTTGTTTATTATTTGCAGGGGACCCTACAATTTATATCACGCCTAAGGTCGAACACAGTTAAATCCAGTCTGCCTACACTTTACTTCAGTGTAGAACAATTTTTAGTAATATTTCACTATATTAATTAACTGTAGTCGGTACAATGTATATTTCTTATAGCTGGAATAAAAACTATGTTTATCAATATACCTATCATTATCAACTAGATTAATGTTTATTCAGTTGAAACATTAATAAATGTAGGTACCTCAATCTTTAGATGTTGCGAACGAAATTCCTGGAGCATTTAATTTAAGTAATGTTAAGGGTGACAATATCATAAAAAAAAAACTAAGAACTAACAAAATTGCTTTTATTAAATATGCAACAGAAAATAGATTTACAATGTAGATAAACGATGTAGTAGAACTATGCAATATATGTCTAACGGACTAAGATAGTCCGTGAATATGTCTTATAGTTGAATATTATCATCAGTAAAAATAGTTTATTAATACAAACTAAGTAATAGCATTTAAAAAATTACTATTATTTAACATTTGGAGGGGATGACATGTCACCCACTTGCACCCCCAACCCCATGTTCCAAATGAAATGACGCCAGGTGGTCAAGGGAAAAACCGGTTTTGCTATGTAAATCTATACTCCGCGAAACGAGAGACGGAAACCGGAACCCGTGTCCAGACCGAAACACTTAACACATTAGATTTTGAGCATCGCCACGTATTCGACATATTACACTAAATGGTACCAAGTGTGGAAATGCCTACATTCTGCAGGCGAGAAACATCTCTCGTGGCTCGGAGTATAGCGTCTGCTCTTTGGAACTAAGTATAGATATAATATTATATAGTACTGTTGACCGCATATGCCGTATATTTATGCAAACAATATAATATGTACCTAATACCTATATTGGTTCGGATTTCTACATATTATGACATATTATGGTTCTATTTCATTTTTAATATTATTGATATTATGAAGATTGAAAACTACAATGGAGTGTGTAAAACCACCCAGAGGCGTATTTAGGAATTTTGCTAGGGGGATGAAATATAATATAATAATACACCCATTAATACGTACATAATATACATTTTTATAATCCCCTAACTTGTTACCTATTGAAGTATTGAAGTTAGTGTGGATCAAGGCGAACTAAGAATTAAAACAAAATATTGTATAGTACCTAATAGCATTTATTATAAATTCATACTAGTTCCAATCCCGGGTTTAATACGATTAACAAAAAAAATAGTTATAATACAAAATCCAGTTTTCTATTTTTTTGGATGCTCAGTTCATCGATAACCTCATCTGGCATAATTATTGTATTGACCGGTGACATGCCAATAAAGCCAACACATTAAGTCGGTTCTAATAAACAAAGTATATAATAATTACTAGGTACTTAATTTATAGTTTGGTATTATTCAATATTAGATAGGCAAATTGAAAAAATATTTACTTCTGTCATACTATTTATTAGGCAAGACTTAATTCTTGATAAAAACTTGAAAAACATCGTTCAGGTGTAGCAGTTGATACAGGCAATGACGTACAAAATATTTTCAAAAGTTCATGAATATTTTGATAAAACTCTTTTTCACAAAATGTAAAGCATGTAATCTACAGGTGAATAGAAATTGTTCAGTCACTAAAAATAAACCCAAGCCCTATGATAAATCTACGGTCTTCATGGTAATTTTGTTTTATTATTTTACTGACTGTTAATCGGATTTATTATAAACATTCATACTTGAAAAATAATTCACAGAAAAGTAAAAAATACAGTAAACCATACCTGACCATATTAATCTTTTATCTATGCACCATACTACCATGATAGAGGTATATGTTATTGTTGTCCGATAGTCACATATATATCGCGAACGACTAGTGGCGTATAGTATATCAGAGCGGTACAATTACCACTGCTAGAACATTTAGAAAGACATACTTAAAAGTGAAAAGTAATATACTAATATCATATTGAGAAATACAGATAATAAAAACATTTACAAAAAAAAAGGTCAAGGTGGATCTATCCTTCCCCATAAATACGCCACTGAAACCACCCACATGTTATATTATGTAAATATAAAATTCTAACACCTCCACCCTATAAAATCCTGGATACGCGCCTGCCAGTCGATATAGTACAAATTAGCAATAATATTACCAAATACCAATTATAGTCAATACTCGCGTCACCGGTGGGCGGAGGACGGGATAAAAACAGTGGCAATGAAAATTGGAAACTAATAAAAATTAAAAAGGAAAAATGTGCCAAACCAAACGTCGCACGTCGGCGGTTCTACCGCAGTGTCACCGGCGCCAGCATTATTACGGCGCGCCAGTCGCAACTTGGTGGCGTCTGTGCGGGCGGCACTGGGTCAAAATTAATTTTTGCGACCGGCGCTCTTGCGTCTTGCATGTACGCCGCTTTTACATTTACAAACACACACAAACACGTCTTGTCGTGGTGGTGAGTAGTGGTCTGTACTCTATGCTGTGCCATAGAGGTTTATCGTCGAAGGTTGCACTTTGACATTGTATTATTTTGTACGTCATTATTATATTATAGCACGTAGAGTCGTGACAGTGTGGCACTCGTTACTGCAGCCGTTGCCTCGTCCCTGTAATCTTTAACCCGTTCGGCGCTCACCCGACGCTAACACATTACACGTGTATTATAATAATTAATAATAATATAATATTATAATATTATCTGCTCGGTGCCAGTGTAGCGGTCACCGACGTCGTGTTCCCCGTCCACTGTTTCAACTTACAGCTCGACCGGGCCAACGCGTTCTCAGTTTCTCACGTCGACACTTCGACAGTTTTCTAATTTCGTTTCGTCGGCTGTTCCCCACCCCGTTGTACGCTCGACCAAAAAACTAACGTCGCGAGTCGAATAGCGCGCGCGCGCGTCAACGTCGACGTCTGTTTTTGTGCGAGTTTCTCGGCGCGCGCATAGCAGCACGCGTGTGTGTGTTTGTGTGTGGGTCGTGTTTTAGTGTGTGTGTGTGTGTGTGTGTGTGGGTCGTGTTTTAGCGTGTGTGTGTGTTGGTGTATTTGCGCTATAGCCGGCGGCGGGAACGAGAGTGTGCGTGCGAGAGCGCGTGTCTGTGCGTTGGAGCGACTGCGGTGTGCGAGTGCGTGCGTGAGGACGACCCAAAGGAACCAACCGGCGGCCGCAGTCGACGGGACCACACGAACGGCCACTCATAAGTATATACAGCTCCGTGACGGTTTCGTGCTGTGGAATTGGGTCGGTCGTCGGAAATACGTTGGCATTCTAATCGCGCCGTGAACGATATTGTAATACAGACAAGTACACACACCCGAGGAACGACCCAATCGAGTGTCCGTTAAATGGCTTTTCTGAAAATATCCACATCCCGTAAGTGCAGTCAAATATTATTGCAAGAGCCGTTCAGGAACGACGTGTACGCTCGACTTGTGCGGTCTCTAACTTCCACTGCCAATGGACCCGCAGAACAGCACCAGCAGCGCAGGAACAGCAGCTCGGTGTCCGGCCCGTCAGCCGTCGACACGAAGCCCAAATTCGATCCACTGGACACATCATTCGCCAACCCGGAGGCCACGTTCAAGAGCAAGACCACCTGGGAGATATTTAGAGCTTACATAGTTTACCAGTTATGCTCGTCCAGTTACCTTGTCGAGAACAACATGCAGGTAAACATGTCACTTTGGCTCGATCTGTAACTAGAATAGCGCTAAACACATGTTTGTACTTGGATTCATCGTCACTCTGAGAGTCGTAAGTCCATGTGCTGCATGCTCACAAAACATTTACTGTGTGGTGGCTCATGGTTTGTGAAATCTATAGATAATCACTTGATATACCTACCTACCCACTTGTCACTTGTGTACGTTCAAGTGTATACCCCGGTGTATACTGATCTTTTGATGTTATGGTTTTAAACTTAAAATCGTTGAACTTATTTTTATAAATTATAATGAAATATTCATTAAGTATTTTAGTCCACAACTCATAGGTAGGCACATTTAGAGTAATGAAATACATTTTATATATGCAAATTAATGTTTTGGTACCTATCCACCTACCTACTGTTTAAAAATTAGTTATTACCATACACGAACTTGCACGTATTTGACAATTAAACATACTTGTAATTGTTATATTCATTAGGTAGCTACCTGATCAATACTTACATTAAATGTTAGTATTTATTTTTATCTACATTTTAACAAGGTATTTTCTAAAGATATATACTACCTTTGCTACTTATTTGATTTTTAAGTTGAAAAATCAATATGATTTTTGTCTGGTAAATTATTTACTTGAAGTTAACATGCTTGTTTTCTACCTCTTTTAAATCTTTTTTATGTTTCTAATCTATTATTGATATTAAGGTACAATTTATGAAGTCTACATTTGTATTGATTTAATTTATGTTAAAGGTTATCTGGATAATAATTAAAAAAAAATAAGTTACAGATCAATTGGTCAATTATCATGTGTTATATTAATTACATATTATTTTTTTGTTCTCATATAATAGATTCTAATTAAAAAAAATTGATAATATTACTATTATGAGTCACCATATTTAAAAATATGTTCTCTGTATTTACCATGAACAATATGGCTGGCTGGCTAGCTGACCCATGTATCAAATTCGTGAAAAATTATAAATCAGTCTGCACGTCACATTTGGCATAATTTGGCTATCTACGTATATTATAGATGATTTGCCACTTATTGTTCAAAATTGTTTAGGCATCTATTACAGATTATAGGAAAGGTTACCTACCTAAATTTAAAACAAAAAGAAGCTGTACTATAGGTACCTATGTTATGAATGGGCCCATTATTCCAATTGTACCTACTTCATTGGTTTTAATTTTAAAATGTAAGTTAGGCAGTGTATTTACCATCCTTAGCACACTATGTTATGTTAATTCCACCGAGATTATTCCATAATCAAGATCACATTTCTTCACCTGTCACCATATTTGTTAGGTATTAATGTATTATGACCTAAACATTGTTTAGTTTTAAGTTTTCAATTTGTATTTTCTATATTTACGATACTATTGTAATCATTATCAACGTATTATATTATAATAAAAATAAAATAAATAAATATGAAACCTAAAAGTTTAAGATTTCAAAATGTAAGTTAAATTCTAGATCCTAATGAAATCATTATTTTGATCTTATTATTATTAACTCGTAACTAAAAATATTTTTTAATAGCAGCCCTATATTAGATTCACATTTATAGTTTATACTTTAATTAATATAATACCTAATTAAATTTTTATATTACTAATTAAAGTAGGTATTTAAATAGGTGTACCTACCTACCTATAATGTATGAAAAATAAATTACGTTTTTAAAATGTTATAATATTGAGTCAAGTTGATAGGTAGATTATTTAATTCTATATCATAGTTTGTTTATTTAATTACCTATAATATCTCTGAGTTTAATTTTTGTTTAGAATTAGAATTGAGCAAGTACCTAATGGTGGGTTAACTTAATCTACTTAACTCTACAACTGACAGATAAACAAAAATGTTAAATTATTTGGTTTATAGTTAATATTTTCCTAGATATTTAAAATTATAGGTAATGATATTTACGAACTTGCCCTTGAAAAAGCTATGATTATTATCAAATTAAAATAGAACTAACAAGCATAGGTACTATTTCTATATAATTTAAATCTCAATTTTAATACAAAAATGCATGTGTTAAATACAGAATAAAATATATTAATATTTATATATAGGTACCTATTGTTATTACTTATTTGAAGGTATTACCATTATAATTTAATACATTGTTTAATAAGTACTTAAAATAAATAAATAAAAATGTTTTAAACTAAAAAATATATAAATTTATATTTACATTAAAAAATATACGAGTTTTGTTGAATATACTTCTTTACATCATGATCATATTCTCAATATTACAGTTATAATAAAGATCAGTGTTAGCCTACCCAGGGCTGTGAAGAACACTGCAAAAGCTTTAAGCTTAATTGTATGTAGTAACACTTATGTGTTAGTGAACTAGGACTAGGGTTTGTATTGAAGCATATTTAACTATTTAGGTACTCTGGGAATTTCAACTCTAAATTAATAAAAGTACATTTTTAAATAAATTTGAGATAAATGGGATAGTTTGGTATTAGAGAAGGCAAAAATATATTGCTGCACACCTTTATATAAATGTAATATTACATTACTTTTCAATATCCTTGTGTCTAAAAATTGCGATGACGTCCTCCCATTAAATTGACCCAAAAGTTAAACCTTCAATATTGCTTAAACAATTTCTACTGTTTCAACTTCTACTCTATTATTTATTTATTTTATATCTTTTTTCAGCTCATGAAACTTTGCAAAGCAGTTTTTGGTGAAAAATTATTCACGGTAATGATGAAAATGACATTTTATGGTCATTTTGTTGCGGGAGAAGATCAATATCGTATTGTTCCTACTTTGAAACGCTTAAGATCTTTTGGTGTTAAACCAATTTTAGACTATTCTGTTGAAGAAGATATTACTCAAGAAGAGGCAGAAAAACGTGAAGTTGAGTAAGTATGGTTTTATAACACTTAAGTATATTTTATTAGATTAGATAAATAAGATATTATTCACAAAGATGATAGAATATTAAAATCAAATACAAATTATAATTATTTAGCTTGGATTATTGATGTATACAAAGTTGAAAGGGGATTGCGGTAAATTTTATGAAAATATCAGATATTTTATTTACTGTACTTATCATATTTTGTTTAGCTTATCTACCATAGAATCCAAATATTACTTAAATCAGTGATGTTTCACATAATATAAATTAAATTTATAAATGATTTTGTATTATGACTCAACAAAAGACCAATTAAATAATATTTTATCTCGGGCTAAATGTTTTCCAATTTCCTAAGACCCCTACATTTTTTCTTATGATCTATATTAATCTTAATAGGTGCTTATATAAATTCCGGCCCTCGATTCAACCGGAAAAAAAAAAAAGTACTTATATAAAAGATCTATTTACATTTTAACTTTGTTGATATTAAATTCTGCTAATATTGCTTATTATTAATTATTTCCTTTTATATAACTATGGTTTAAGTTAATGTGATTTTATAATACATGTATGTATACCAAAAACTAGTTATGATAATTTTTAAATTGTATTATTATACACTTATAACTAAATTAAAATAAGAAGAAAAAATTAGGCAATGATGTACATTTGATAATAAGTAAATTTACTCTAAATCTTATAATTAACGAAACTAAATGTGAACTTGTCAAGCAAAACTGTTACACACTGCAATACTGAGACAACAAATATTTATAATGTGCAACTAAAGAACATATTATTTGAATCAAGTTTTATAGACAACTCCCATTATGGATTAATGATCTCAATTTCATCAAGTATTTACTTCATAAGGAAAATGTTATGTATAATTGTTTTTTCCTTGTATAGAATTTATTGAAGCCAAGGACAAAATTATATGTATAGTGTACATAGGTCACCTTTTTACATAAGTACCTTTTATATTTTTTATGTAGCTAAAATATATTAGATAATTGCACTAATTTTATTTGTTAGGTATTTAAGATCATTTTTTGTTCTCTGTATCAGAGAAATATTAACTTATTCAAATTATAGTTATTTTGTTTCACTTAAAATAAATAATATGGTCAATCTTTAAAAGCAATAGTAAATAATCAAATTGAAAAATCAAATCTGTTTAAAATTTCAATACCTAAAGACTATCACGGGGCTCCGAGTTACACCAGCAGTCATTTTAATACTAATTTTTATTAATACTTTAATAATTATTAATCTATTAATACTTTATTAATTATGTTACCAAGTACGTAATTTATATGACATTTTATTTCCCAACAAATTGGTACTATATTATATGAAACATAATAATTTGTTTTTGAAACAGTGGCGATTAAATATTTGAATAGCTAGAAGTTCTTTTCCTTTTTAACAATCATTTTTACAATCCCAAATTAATTATTAACTGCTTCAAATCAAAGATAAATTATTTTACATATTTTCACGGCTTGTGTTAGAGAAAATCATAACTATTTTTAAATTTACATAATTTATATTGTTTCATGAGTTACTTTATATTATTATCTATTTATATATTTTAGACTAGTTATTACACTGAATAATTTCTCTCTGTAATGTGAAATTGTTGTGTGTTAAATTATAGTTCAAATGTGAACTATACATTTGTTATTACAGTTAAGGATGTTCGTTCAAGCAATCATGTGCATGAATTCTGAATAGATGCTGAAGTAGGTATTTTTTATCAAACTGCCATATGACAAAACCAAATGGAATGATATTATGTTTCCTTCTTCAGGTAGCATGATCTTTTAGTTTCATAGTCTAAACGTGCCTTTTTTATATGATCAAAAATATTTAGTCCCCGTTGGCCTTATTATTACTTAATTCTTAATATTTTTAGACCATAATCAGTGCTTGATGATGATAAATATTAAAAATTATAGAAAATTTTTTTTGGTTTCTTGTTACTTTTACATAATAGAAAATTTTAATTTCAAAAAATTGTTTCCAACTTATTTAAAAAATAATCAGCATTTAACCTGATAGAACTGTATTTTATTATCTTTAGATTTCTTTTAATAGAATTTGTATTGAATTTTTGTATTTAAATGTAGGCACAAGGTTACCTTTTTATTCATCAATCATTACAAGGGGTAGAGGATTTTAATGCAAATTGCCTTTTTCTGATTGTCTTAAATATTGATCAAAATTTTGGAAAATTACCGTTTTTTTCCCACACTTTCGGAAAATGTGTAAAATTGGAGAATATTAAAATAATACATTTCTGAAAGCAAAAAAGTTTTTGGAAAATTAAAAAAAAAAAAGGTGCTCTGCTGTACAGTAGGTTACAAGTGGGTCACTGTATAATGGAAGGTAATAAATTTGAATTCAATGATGTAATATCATTGTATAAGAAAAACGATTCTGAGCGAAGACGGTATGTCAGGTTAGGATAGGTAAGACATATTATATACTTATCTATGGTATTAAAAAAAATTGACCTATAATAAATTACAAATTAATCATATCACAATATCCATTTGAATTTCAAACGCTCATAAAAATTTAATTTGACTTTCTTATAGATATTTTTTTTTTGATAAAGGTAGATAATCTTATAAGGAATCTTGTTACATTTTAATATCTTAGATTTAAAAAGAATTTTTTTTACGAATTCTTAACTCAAAATAATTTGATAATTTTCGTGATTTTTCCTTATTTTGTCAATTTTTGAACTTTAAATGCTTATAAAAAAAAACTGTATAATATAATGGTATATCCGTATATACAGGGTATATCGTATGTCATTGTACACAGGTTTTTTTAACGATTATGGATCGATGACATAGAGTTTTGTTAAAACGTGTTTATTTATTTTTAACACACAATTTTTTTAAAAAAATTTTAAACACGCAGGTGTACCAATAGCAAAATCAACTTTATTTTTTCAAATGGTTACTACTATATTTTTAATGGATCCCGATAAAGCTTTTTTTTCTGATAATATTGATTGTAAAATCATCGATTTTGGTTCTCTAGTTCAGGGGTCTCCAAACTACGGCCGCGGGATACGCCGCGAACAAGTTTTAACCGGCCCGTGGCCCGCATAGGACGCATAGGTAAATATAGATAAAAAAATTATTTCAAAAATGCATTTATATTATATTATATTTATACCTATTTATTTTTATTTAAGTATATTGTAAAGTAAACAATATTCTATACAAAAATATAAAGTAAACATATTATTTATATAGGTACCTACCTAAATCATCAAGTTAAAAATTATATGTGTTAATAAACTTTTGGCCCGCTAAGAGCATTTGATTTTTTTTGTGGCCCTTGAATAAAAAAGTTTGGAGACCCCTGCTCTAGTTTATTAACTATGGTCCTCTAAAGTTTAGTAAAATATGCATTAACACTTTTGATTGAAATAATTGGTATATTTTTAATTTACAAGAGCTAAATATTTTTTTCTTATAACTAACTTTTATAACTTGAAATTTGTCCCATAAGTTCCCTATATTGGTAGGTAGCGCATGCAAAGTATGAATTCAGCAGTTGAAATCTTAGATTATTAATAATCGTGATTTAAAGTAAACTATTTGCAAGATATTTAGATATATAGTCAATCTCATTATAGGTTTGTACCTAACTTAGGCATACTTTTAATCTGAGTTAATTACAGATTTCAAATATTATTATAACAAGAATCGAATACCATTAGGTATTACCTTAGCCACCTAATAAAGAATCCAAATTAATGCTATTGTAAGAAAAGGACCACAGTTAATAAACTAGCGAACCAAAATTGATGATTTGACTGTCAACATTTTTAGAAAAATAAAGCTTTACGGAATCCATTAAAAAAATTATAGTAGTTTACCATTTGAAAAGAATAAAGTTTCGAGTTGCTATTGGTACAACCTAAAAAAAAAAATTTAAAAATAAAGTAACACGTCTTTTTTCGTTTTAACGAAATTCTATGCCATCGATCCATAATCGTTAAAAAACACGGCGTTCAATAGTAAGTACCGTATAAGTAGTATATTATATGATATCAATCTATCCGTTTAATCAAATATAACGTATGAAAACGTAAAGTAAGTAATAATATGATACATTATTGTTTTAAACTTTCTTAATTTGTTTCAGTCCGTCTGTGATCCAACTTGCGCGCTCGATTGAGGCACTTTTGAGAACTGAAATAGACCTTGGTCTGGATACAATATATCAAATTAAAAGCTTAAGTTACGGATTAAATAGTAATTAACAATTTATTTGTTTTTTTGAATACCTACTAATTACCGTAAAGGTGTAACAAGTCAAATAGTTAATAATATTAAGCCGTAAAGCCAAAAATTTTGGACCACCAGTTAGTAATAACAGCATTAAAAAATACAAACATAATCTAAAAGATATTGATCAGTTGTTTCCACTATACATTTCTCTTTAAACCATTTTTCATGAAATTGTTCAATCAAGTTTTTAGTCAAAACCATTTTTCCGGAAATTTTAAATGACACCAAATTTCCCCCCCCCCCAAATATAAAAACTATCTGTACGTATTATTGTATTATACAAATATTGAAAATATAAACAAGTTCCCAAAAACATCGAGTAAAAAATAGAAATATGTTTTAAAATCCCATTGATTTTGATTCGTCACAAGACACAACCATTAATTCCTTTATTAATTGGCATATTATACTTATTATTTCCTACTATTATATTAAAATGTACAGAAAGATTCAAAGATATATAATTAAATCTGCTCTAATACATGCTATTTGTTTTTTAAATGTAACTACTTAATTATGGCCTGCAATAATAGCATATATTATTATGTTAAATGCCCTTGCAGACAAAATTTGTGTGTAATAATATACTCAATCTACCAGTGGGCTTAAGTCTTTATACGCAAAATTTCAATTTAGTCAATAATAATTAATAATTAATGGTGTATATATCTAAGTCTGAAATATAGGTACTTATTATTAATTTATTTAACTAAGGGGCAACTATTGGCTTGCGTATAAATATAAACAATTATAAAATTAATACCTCAATAGTAATGATAATATGATATTATACTTTTATACCATTTTGGGCCCGAGGTGAAGTAATGCTAACGCGGTTCCTCCTCCGTCCCTCGACAACTCGGAAAAAAAAATACTATTATACAATATATTTATTATTATAACTTATAAGTTATAAGCATAATAATAGATATCATGATATTAAGACATTACATTAGTACAATAGCTATTATGGATTCACAGTAGGGAATTTATTTATATTTAATATTTATTTTTAGATCAAGCATGTCAGAAATCGAAAAAAGAGACCAGGATGCTGCTCAAAAAGAAGGTAAACTTTTATGGATCAACTTAAATGGTTGTATGCAATTTATTTAACTGCTCGATTAATGTGTTGTTAAATGGAATAATTTGTATTTAATACGGCAGTGTTACTAAATAAGCATAAGATGATATTTTTCCTTCCCGGATAGATTGTGGCCAGATGCGGTGGAAATTCATTTTTCATTCTTAAATTTTTTGTCTCATGTAAAATTTGATTTAAGAAGACGTGATACCCGCGTGTGTGTTGTGTCCGTCTTACAAGTGCATAACATAGCAAATTTTACGCTCAGCAAAACACATGTAGCTCCGTTAATTTAAAAATTAGAGTAAATTGACCTCTTATAAAATCTAAAGGTAAGATTATTATCTAGACAACCTCATGGGATTTTTATTGTATTTTAATTTTTAAGTGAGTTATGTGTACTTTAAAATTTACAAACAATTTACAATTTTAAAAATACTTGTGCTTGCTTTAAAATTAAAATATAATAAAAAGCCCAAGAGGTTGTCTAGGTAATAATCTTACCTTTCAATCTAATTTTTAACTAACGGAGCTACATTTGTTCTGGTTTGCGTAGAATTTGGTATGTTACGCACTTGTAAGACGGAGACAACACATGCGGGTATCACTGTCCTCTTAACAATAGTTAATTATTAATGATATTGATATATTTACACTTTTTTTTTAATGTGCTAATCGTGCCGGATATACTGTTATTGACTATTGTGTAACATATTTCACGTATAGTATACTATAGAGTATAGAGTACATATTATGTTCATTTTAGGTTGGTCAATTGAGTTGATAAGTGGGTGTGTTGCCTTTTAAAATTTAAAATTGGTGCATACAGAATATGTATTATACAGCAAGCTCAAAATACTTTGATAATAATATTATAATATTGGTATATATCTTATAATATATATTATATATAGCCATATAGGCAATATAGCAGAAAATAAAACTTCTAGCAAATTTGTATTATTGTTTATGGATTATGTTCTATGACCTATGCACAATGATCTTATCCAAATTTTTATTTTAGCTTTTTTTAATAAATATTATGTAAAATAATAAAATCATTATTAGTTTTTAAATACAGATACTCTGAGAAAGTATTTAAAATAGATACTAGTCTAAAGAACGTATTTGAATACCCACTTAGAAGTTTTTGAATTCTTTTATTCAAATAAATTAGCTTTTTTTTTTTAGTTTATTGGAAAATAATAGCATTATAATATTTTTTATAGTGCCTATAATAATAATTAAACTAAAATAAATTTTTAAAATATTTGATAACTGTTTTTAATTCTAAAATTACTGTAAATTATTGTAAAACCATAACAGTAAAAATGTTGAAGGCCATCTAAGTAATTTTGAATAACCGATTTATAAATAAATTTAATCTCTATTAATAGTTAAGCTTATTATTTAAAATGCAAGAAGTAATAAGAAATTAACTTCCGTTTATTAATTTTTATCAGAAACTCTATAGTCTATATTATAGACTCTATAATATGACGTGTTTTTTTTGGATTTTATCGTACCGTTTTTTAATTATTCAAAATAACAATTTACAAATCATTTATTATGAAAGATAAATATTACATTTGAAGAGGACGTCATACCTGGATACCTGCATGTTTTGTCTCCCTCTTACTAACATACACCAAAATGTGGGTTCAGCAGTTTCAATTTTATAAATAATTTATAATAATTATAAAGAATAGTCATTAGACCTATTGGCTATTATAAACTTTAAGCTAAGAATATTATCTTTCTTAATTTTCGTTCGTTCTTACTATGTTTTATTTGTTAGCCAAATCATAACGCACTTAAAACTTAAAACATTGTGTAACGCCCTTAAGCGCGAATACTTTAATGCCGTTAATCTTACTACCGATTGTTATTTAATTTTGCCGTCTTCAATTTCTTTAAAATTGTATGCCTTACTAAAGCAACACATGACCTTCTTGTGCCCTAGCGTCGGGCTAGTGCCTACAGCGTATTATTTTGTTGTCGATATTAGCGACGAGTCTTCGAATTAGGTGATTGATGTGCGAATGGGAGCGCTACTCCTCGCATAATTATCCATATGTCACTATCACAGAATTATTCTAAATCTTAGTTCGTGAATTCGTGATTAATTATATTATTATAGTAATTATTATATTATTATAATTATCAATAGGCATAATACTATTTTTTAAATTTAATATTATATTTAAAACATAATATTATGGTGATTTGATACCAAATTATCCGGGGTTAAAATGTATTAGTTGCGTGACAAATGCTCATATCAAACACCTAATTTTTTTGTATTGATTTAATATGTTGTGGCTCCATCCATAGTATATGATCTAAGTATAGTTAGCAATAAAAAATTGGAACTACTGATAAAAAATTTGCCATATTGTCCGTTTGTTAAAACGTGAAAAAACATGCCGGTCCTGCTTTAATTGGTTTTCCATTTTAACACTGCTATTTTAACTAATTTTGTGTTTGATTTGATTTGACTAACGCATGCATATTTGTGTTTGGGATGGTTCCTATTGGACAGGTTCTGTTTCAGCGGAAACAGTTGGAGGTTCTTTACCACAGTACCACGTGGATAAACAGTTCGCAGACAGAAGGTACAAGGTGCAGAGTGCTCGAACCTATTTCTACCTAAATGAAGCTACTTGTGAACGTAACATGGAAGTGTTCACAAACTGCCTACATGCAGTAGCCGGTAAGATTTATAAAACATTTTAATTATTAATAAAGAATAATATACAAAAAATAAAATCATGTAAATGTATTAAATAAGTATAAAATATTAAATTAATACTTACATAATATTATATTATACTTAATAAATAAAATTAAGCATGTTCTTAATTTCTCATCAGATTATTTAAGATAATAAATTCTACACATATTTCTACTTGTACAAAAGTTGTTATAGTAAATAAATACATTTTTTATTCAAACTAACAATCATCTAAATTCCACTCGTTTAACTTTAATAAAAATATTCGTATTTTGTTTTACTCAGAATATTGTAAATTATAAATGTCTAAAGTTGTATAATCGCTACGTAGTCGTACTTACACTTTTAAGTTTTGTTTTGTGACCAAACCAATGCCTAATAATAGAATAGTCATTAGTTGTTTGTCAGTCCTTCATTACGGGTCAAGGAGTAATTCAGAAAACATTTTTCTTCTCAATTTACTGACCTATTTTGTGACAAAAAAAACACTTGTTTGATATTTTCGAAAGAAATGTTTTGCTTTTATTATAAATCCATTTCTTATAAAATGTAATCCATTGATAATATTATAAATTGTGGTATTACATTTATAAGTATATAACCATAATATATTAAATAGATCAATAGATTAGTCATTAATCTATGATATAATTTATAAGCGTTGCATTGTTCATTTTCAATCACTTGAAAACAGATTTATGTAACATAATACATAATTATATTTCTTTATTAACCCTGATAACTCTAAAATAGTCTTTAATTACAAAATTAGTTATTTGATATGATTCATACATTTCTTGTAGTACGGTAAAATTATTATTTTCCATGGAAATTGTTTATTTAGATTAATAAAATATGAAAGGAAGTAAGTAGGTATTGCCGGTATTAATTATTGATAGTTGATAAAGTGTAGATACCACCACTCTAAATAAAAAAAATTGATTCTTTTACTTGTTCTAAATATGAAATCTTTGCTGACCGTTCTTTATAACTAGGCACATTTTGGTACAAACACAGAAAAAATCCAAATGGAACTACCGTAAACATTTTCTAATTCGAGTTGAATTGAAAATATACAAATATACAATTGATAATAAATTAAATATGTTTTGTTAATACAGGCGTCATACATTTTACAAACGTTTAAACTTACAATGGGTACTAAATTACATGAATTTATGGTTCTGACCTGCATGCCTGACTGACTTATTGTGTTACACAATTCCGTTTTCATAATGATATTTCCTCTGCGGGTTTTACATTATTCACCCAATTATAAAAATCTATTGATGACTGTCACTTAAAATAATTGTTTGTTCTATGTAAAAAATTATTAATGCTTATAAAGTTATAACAATATGTCAGTCTTTATTCTATCTTGTTGATTGTTTTACTTTCATTTTCAATGTTTTATTCTAAATTAGAATATTTTTATAAATTATAAGTATAAGAATTCAAGTCTTAAGAGGATATAAGCGGTCAGCGCACAAATAGTTTTCTCTCTCTGATCTATCCACATTGCATATCAATTCACCAATTTTGTGTTGACGTGTTTCAATTTTTATATAAACATTTCCTATGAGTAAGTTAAATATTACAGTTTAAACATTTTCATATGTTGCAGAACAATTGAAATACCGTATAAATCAAACGGGAGGAAAAATTGTGCCTATGTATTTTCAGTGTTTTTCTACTGCTATTGTAACAATATATCAGGAGCCTTGCATTAAATTTTCACGCTTTTTCAGCCGACAAATAATTTAATTTGTATTGATATTTATAAAACAGCTGTATCCTCTGTACACATACAATCATAAAATTACAACGATATTAAATACATTTTTAAATAATAAAATAACTATTGTCTAACTTGGAATGTTGTACACTATAGTCGACAATATTTGACTTGGGGTTTCTCGTGTTCCTACAGACTTTTCCTTTATACTATTATACGTATCAGGTGAAAAATAGAACACACTCAATCCACTATTTCGAATATACAGGTGAGAACTTGCTGTATATTATAGTTTATGACATTGATTAATTGATTAATAGATATTTATGGTATCTTATCGTTATCGTATTATTTTCACTCGCAGTCACTCGTGGTTTCCCACCGATCGTCAGTAAAATAAAATTAAAAATAATCGTTTATATTTTATTCTTTTTTTTCATAACATTTTGATTTTTGGGAAACCTTGACTATTGTGGACTGTACCAGTATTCCGTTTACCAATTTTATCACCTTCTAGTTTGATAATAGATCAGTTTACTTTGATATTAAAGCCTTACAACATTAGATTGTTTTGCTGAACTCAAATAGGTACCTACTAAATTTGTTATGTTGAGGGTTGATCAGAGAAAGAAAACGAATGGTGTAGAGAGGACGTCGCACCCGTGTATGTTGTCTCCGTCTTACACACGGACGACGCATTTAAAAATATTGTATTACATAACCATGAATCACTTAAAAATTAAAATATAGTAAAAAGCGAACGATAGAACATAGATATTGTTGTTACTTAAAAGTTTTATCATAGGTCTATTCATTCTAATGTCAAAACTAACAGCCCGCTCCCTATTGAAACTAGCGAACAAAAATGTTCTACTATGTTGTAAATGTGTAAGACGAGTGCGACGTCCTCTTAACACAGTACACACTGGCTTCTTACTTTCTTATATTTATAATTTATAAAAATATTCTTCTTTAGAATAAGAAATTGAAATTATGCTCTATCATTTAAATCGAAGTAAAATATTAAGGTTATCTACTGGTTTTCATTACCTAGTGGCATATAATGCAGACTGTAGTTTAAAGTTTTGAAAAAATTATCAATATTTAATTAGGTATTATTTAACATTTTTAAATAATATTATTATTAAATGACATAAAATTAAAGTGACAATTTTAACCTTCGAGCCATTCCGGTGTTATATTCGATCATCTGAAATATCAATATCTCTATTAATAGATAATAATGAGAGTCCGACAGGTCTCGACTCTGAAGTTGAATTCCTGAGGTAGGTTTTTTTTGTCTTCTCAAAAAAGAAAAACTTCTTTCAGCAGTAGCTGCAGTTGATACAGGTAGAACTGGTACTAACTTTAGGAGTTGATGTATGTTTGGAAACATATTGCTGTCCCGGTTTGTTAATATATTGATTGCATATCGTCGGCCTAATTCGCAAAGGTCGTATGTCCAAAATTACAAATTGTTCAGGAGAAGAAAAAAACGTTTTACGGCCATATTATTAATTGGAGATACGACGATTTATAATTATCAATTTCATGGAGGATAATATTATGAAATCGGAAATTTGATTGTATCAACAGACGCATTTTTTTTTCTTTATTTTATGAGTGAATAATCCCAAAATGACAAAAAATGGAGATACGACTATTGCGAATTAGGCCGACGATATAATGGTCTGAATTTTGACCCAACTGTTTTCCACTTGGACTGCCATAATTTAAATTCTGCTTCAGTAATATCTCGATACCCTGGTAAATCTTCTTCATAAAATTGAACAGCAGGTTTTAAATATGAAAATGGGCTATCAACAGCCAAAGACGGCAATACATACTGTAAATAACCATAGTATCTTTATGCTAGTTATTAAACGTTATTTTAGTGAGCAAAGCAAATCATGTAAGTATGTCATAAATATTGTACGTCTGTAAAGTTCTTCAGTATCTTTAAAAGGCACATTATTTATATTTTTTTTGTCTGCCACATATATGTTTTGTACAACATTGTTTCATCAACATTCAACAAAACTGCAATACAGTGTACTTAGTTTCGCAGAAACCCACAGATAATTATTGAGAGTTTACTGTTCTGTACTTAATAAATAAAAGTATTAGTAAAGCATATTAATATTAAAAATACTTTTTTATAGTTAAATATTTTAATTTCATAGTTTTATAATAATACACGGGTTTTAAACTTGAAAAATGTTTACATATTACATAATTACAATAACACTCATAATAGATTATTAAATTAAATAAAAAATATTATTATTGTTTAGGTGCTACATATGGAACAGGAATTACAGCAATCAAATTAACAGCTCTTGGACGTCCTCAACTTTTGGTAAATTTTAGATTAAAATATGTTATTTTTATTCAACATAATATTTATAAACTAAAGTAATAATTTAAATTATCAATCATAATAATTATTTTATGCAACTTTTACATACTGTTATGTTTATTACTACTTACTTGAAAACTTGTGTAAAAATGTTGTAATAAATGCTATAAGTATTCTTAACAAAATATGTAGAAACCACCTAATGTCAAATACATTTGGTTGATTCTATAAATATTTCCTTAATCAAAAACATGTTGTGTTATCTGAAAGGATTGAGCCAAAATATCTGTTATTTTTACTGTTGGTACAATCTAACAATAACACTGTATAAAAGTGGTTAGTGATCTATTGATTACTTAATGGTTACTACTTACTACTAATTCAATAACAATTGTTATTATACTTTCTGACATCACAACATGTTTTAATAATTGTAAATTCCTACTCTGCTTTCTCCAACTTAGGGACTTGGCCATGACTGAAATCAAAAAAATACTTGCAAATTTAATAAGCTAAGCAACACCTTATTGTAACCAAAATAAAATAAATAAATAAATCCCTATTAATTAACATAGACAATTTCGAACAATTAATAACATTTTTTATAATTTTTATTAATGTTGACAACTTTCAAAGAAAAAATTTGTATTTAAAATTAAGTTTTATAATGATTTTGTGTGTTGTCTCGGTCTTACAAACATTCAACATAAAATTTTTCATTCTCCATAATCCATTTTACTCCATTATGTTTTTAAAATTAGAGTGAATTGACTAACATTGTAATTGAAATATATATTAAAGCCTCTGCACTAGATTATAAGCTTAGCTTTAAAATTAATAATAGATCAATTCACTTTCTTTTAAAAATAGTATTGTAAGATGGAATATTGTAAATGTAAAATATATTGTTATGTTTTACATTTGTGAGGTGAAGACTACATGTGAGTGTAGCGTCCTCTTAAGACATTTTCTTACAAGTAATAGATAGTTGAAAAAAATATATCCTTATTTCAACTATTAACAAATGGAAATTAGACTAAAAATATTTATTTGATATTACAGTTACAATTGTCAGAGGTAATTATGAGAGCTCGTACATTAGCTAGTGAAATTATGGGTGGCAAAGGTAATGTAATTGGTCAGCATCTCACTCTTGAAGAGTTGGACAAACGTTTGTTCCAAGCTGGAATCAAAGATACAAATAAATTTTTGGAAAAAGTCACCAAGGACAGCCAAGGGTAAAATTAATTTATAAGTTTAAAATATTGGTTTTTATTTAAAACATAAAGATTATTTTTTGTTTAGTGTTATTCATTTATTCCCGTGGAGTGGTTTGTTAGATGAAAATTCTGAACTAAGTGATTCGTTCCGTGTCCCTTGCTTAAAAGAAGGTCGTATGGTCAGACTATTATCTCAATTGTCTAAAAAAGAAGAGGAAATGTTCCGTAATATGGTTCATCGACTCAATACATTAGTTCAAGTAAGAAATACGATTTTGGTTAATTTATTAATCCTATCATAAGTTGTGGAAATATTAATTATATTTTTTAATAGACTGCTAAAGACCTAGACGTTCGTATAATGATTGATGCTGAACAAACATATTTTCAACCAGCTATATCTAGATTGACTCTTGAATTGATGCAAAAGTATAATACAGAAAAAGCTATTGTGTTTAACACATACCAATGTTACCTAAAAGAAACACTTAATGAAGTCAAGACTGATTTAAATCAAGCTAAGAGACAAAAATTCTTTTTTGGAGCTAAACTTGTGCGGGGTGCTTATATTGATCAGGTAGTTAATTTGTTTAAATTGTAGTTTCACAAATTTGTGTTTTTAATAAAAAAGAATTAAAAATATATTCATATTAATTAAATATGCTTATTTATATCTTAATAATTGTTTTGAAGCCGGTTGGCGTTAATTCTAATAATAATAATTTAGAAAGGTTTATTATTTAATATGTATTGTTAATGTTAAAAATTGGCTTGGCTAATATTGAATTATTTTAGTAGCATTAAAAATATGATTTATTTTATAGGAGAGGGCAAGAGCTGCAGCATTGGGCTATGCTGATCCAACCAATCCATCATATGAAGCCACCACAGAAACTTATCATCAAACGCTGACTGAGTGTTTAACACGCATTAAGGTACTGAAAGATCAAGGTGACGTTTGCAGCAAGATCGGTATAATGGTTGCATCGCATAACGAAGATACAGTACGCTTCGCATTATCACAGTGAGTAAAATTAACATATTCCTAATATACATATAAATATATTTATTTATGTCATTTTGACATTATGTCCAATACTATAAGTGAACCATTCAATGTTATACCTAAAATGTAATGCGGTAGGTAATAATCAAAACGGGGTTAGAAGTGGTTAGGCTACGTTTGTTAATTTGATAAATTTTGCAGAGACACATAGAATAGTGTCTAAAAAAGCATTTCCAACGCCATCCAATACAAGTGCGATTACTGGAATAAAATGCAGAAATGGATATTACACAAAACAATAAAACAAAACAAAACAACAGTACTCATCATTTATGAAAACCACCACCAACATAATAATTTAAAATTTGTTTCATAAAACATTTTTCGTTTTTGTTTTCCTCGCTTATCAGAATGAAAGAAATCGGAATCTCACCTGAAGACAAAGTAATCTGCTTCGGACAGCTGCTTGGCATGTGTGACTTTATCACGTTCCCCTTGGGTATGTTATATAAATAATATTTTCATATACATTACTTTGTTGAGCATAAAAGTACAAATACAATATTTGTTGAAATTGACAGGCCAAGCAGGATATTCGGCGTACAAGTATATACCATATGGCCCAGTCAACGAAGTGCTGCCATATCTGTCTCGCCGAGCAATGGAGAACAAGGGTGTGCTAAAGAAGTTGGTCAAGGAAAGAACATTACTGAGAAAAGAACTTTTCAGACGTATACTGCGTGGACAGTTCTTCTATAAACCTAATGGCAATTATACGCCAGTTTAAGAACGACATATAAGCCTTAATATCATATAGTAAGCGCAAGTCTCTCTAATGGTATGCCGATTAGTCTTATGTTTTTACTATTATCCCTCCAATATAAACTTAACTTTACCTAATTGTATGACCGATTAGATCTGAATAGCCAGTACTTTTCAGTATTACAAGCAATAATAGTTTGATTTATATTTCAGAATCTCATGTTACCTAAACACATAAACTTGTACTTAAAAGTAATGGAAAAATATGTTTATAAAATTCCATTTTCCTTCTTTTCATCCCAAATGAAACTTAAAGATAACCTACCAATATGTTCATATAATTTATTAATCGGTTGACATTGAACTGCGCTTTTAAATTTATGCCGGCCTTTATACGTAGAAGACAGTTAATTACTATAAATTATTACTGTTTATAAATAAATTGTAAAAGTATAAATATATACATAAAAAAATAGTTCGTTTCACATTTTTGTAAAAAAAAAAAAAATGTTATGTTATTTTATTTTATACAAAACATTTAGTTCTACGCTAACAATGATAATAATAATATTGAGCTACTGAAATATAAAGTCATAATGAGTTGTGCCTATAAAAGTGATAATATGTTTTGTTGAATGTTAATATTTATAGACAATATTGTTGTCTTTTTTCAGCTGTAGTAATTATCATTAACCATAATACTAGTATGAACAAGAGTATTTACAATATTCAGAATTTTTCTAAAAATTAGACTTTAAATGGTTGTACATTTGATATAACTTTTTTTCTTATTAGTACACAATAATTATCCATAATAGATGGAAAATATTCAGTCACAATGTTGAACTGTAATACATATTATAATATGTTAGTATTATGACAGGTGTCAGGTTGTCATGTTAAGTATAAAATACTTAACTTGAAATTTTCTTGTTGAACCAGCTCATTATAAATTAATCACTATCCAGCGCGACGGTAGTGGCGCGAAGCTAAGTAAAAAAAAAAGCGAAGCGGTGACTACCGTAGTATATTACACGAGCCAGAGTTTGCCCATTGAATGTGTGTACATTTGCCCGTTTTCTTTAGCCAGGGCTACAGACCTAATGATTGAACGGATTGGTCTGTTTGTGGTATCAATAGATCGGGCATGATTTGTAGATTATATTTTACCTTTGTCATTTTCGAAAAAATTGGTTGAATGATAACGAATATACAGTGTTGGGAAAGTTCCTTTTAAAAAGGAACTCGTTCCCGTTCCTCTTTCCTGTCCCGAAAAAAGAACGCGTTCCCGTTCTTTTTTAAAAAGCAACGCGTTCCCGTTCCTTCATGTTCCTTTTTTGCAATTTGAGTGGTGGTCAATGGTGTATTTTGCGAACAATTTTTAAGTCAGAAATAATCGGTTAACTCTCTCGGTTCGATTATTTCTGACTTAAAAATTTTTCGCAAAAAACACCATTGACCACCACTAAAATCGGTTAACTCACTCCTTTCTAGGAGCGGCTCAGTTTTGGCGCGGAAACACACTATATGCGCTTCATAAAATATACTGTGGCACTCAACGTGTTAAAAATAAATATATTTATATTTTTTTTTTTCATTATTTGAGGAACGGAAATTTTCGTTCAAGTTCCTTCAAAATAGGAACTCGTTCCCGTTCCTCGTTCCTATATTTTAAATGGAACGCGTTCCGAGCTTCGTTCCTATAAAAGGAACGCTTTCCTCAAGGAACGCGTTCCTTCGACCTTCCCAACACTGCGAATATATTAGCAAAAAAGTCAAGTATTTTTGAAGCAAAAAGATATTGTGCTCGACCGTATTTAGTTATTGCGTTTCACGCAGCAGCGCACGAGACCGTATTATCCCCTCTATTCCGTATCCGTTTTCGTCGCGGTCGTACACTGGGCAGCGGTTGCGACTTGCGGTTTCCGCGTCTTCACTCTTCGCTTATCGTATTCGTTATTTCTGATATCGACAATCGACATTCATGTTTTTGGTGACGTTCGGCGTAGATGTGTTTATTCGCCGCCGCGCCGATAGAAAAACCACGTTTTATTTATTGTCTCGTTTGTTACAGTATTGTAGTAGGCCGTACTATATTATTTATTTATATTATAATTTGTAATTCTTTATTTCTAAAATGGTTTCTAAGACATACAAACAGAAGTTACGAAAAAGGAGAAATTATTTAAAAAAAAAAAATTCGATCACCATAACCACAAAAAAAATTTCTAAGAAATCAAAAAAAATATTTCCATTTTATGGAAGCGTAGAAAAGTGGACTAATAAACTTATGCATAAATTAAATATGCCACTGTATAAGTCTAGAATTGTTATAGAATCTATGTAGTTAGGCATCTATTAAGTACACCAACAACTGATTTTCCCAACATAATTAAAAATATTGACTTATGTCCTAGCCAGGCACGACAGAGCTATAAACTTGGGCACACTTTGTCTTGTTACATTGATTTCAACTGTTCTTCAATTTTATTATTTTTAAATAGTTTAGGACCTCATTATCCAAGTATTAGGAAAATTGTTTCATGTCTATACAAAATGCAAAGTGCACAAAAAAATATTTTAAAAATTAATAATGCTATTTATAGTTTAAACATAAATATTTTAACTGAAATGGAAAAAAAATCAAGGAAAATGTTATTATTTAGGTACTTTTGAATTTAGTAATGAAGATGAGATACTTGAAACGTATTCTCAGTCATTCGATTGTTATAATAAAAGAATATTAGATTTACCTATAAATATTTGCATATCATGTCACAAAATGTGTTACAGACAGTATGAGTAACATTACATATTACATGCCAGTACATAAAAATATGTTATAAAAAAAACTACTGATATCCCAACAAAAACACTTCGTCGAACTCCGTGTAAAAATTTGCTAAGTAAAAAAAAACTAGTAATTTATATAAATTATAATGCTTAAACATTATAAAGATGTGATATCAAGAATAAATGCTAAGTAAATTAATTTTTAAATTAATTGATTCTATCTCAATCATTTATTTACTTGGCTAGAATTTATATATTTCGACAAATAAACATGTCTATTCATAACTGGACTATTTAACAAATTTCCATGACAAATGTTACTAAATTTGTTTTATAAAAAAGTCTTAATTATTAATTTATAAAGAAAATAAATTCTCGCAAAGTAAATAAATGATTGAGATCGAATCAATTAAATTAAAATTTAATTTACTTAGCATTTATTCTTGATATCACATCTTTATAATGTTTAAGTATTATAAATTACTAGTTTTTTTTAAATTTAAGTTAACTTAGCATTTATTTATGATATCACATATTTATTAAGCTGAAGTCTTAAAGATAAATAGTTTTTTTTTACTTAGCAAATTTTTACACGGAATTCGACGAAGTGTTTTTGTTGGGATCATATTACACAATTATCAAAATATAAATTGTATTAATTATGTTTTGTGAATGATGAATCATAATTTACTATTGATATAATTCTATAGATCATAATATGTTTGATCTATTCATCGTACATAACTTCGCAACAATTTCTAATATTTTATACTCAGACATTTAGTTGTTAAATTGAATTTCATTATACTAATGAAAGAAAATGCAGGTACAGGTTATATTTTTTTAAATGTATCTGATCCTTAAAAGGATACTAGGCATTAGTTAGGTAAGTATGCAAATACAATAGGTCTTTTATTTACACTTTTTTTATTAATCTTGATTAAGTTCTAAGGTTATCACGGTTATTTGAGGGGGGGCTATAGCCCCCTTAGCCACCCCCTGGTTACGCCACTGCATATCAGCACCGCTGAGGAAAGATCCTGGTCCATTAGGGAATATAATGGGGGTTAAAATCGTTTGCCCCCTGGAGTGATACCTCAAGGAAAAAAGAGATCTTTTACTACTTCATATTATTATAATTGGTTTAGTTAATTATTAAACGATAACCAAATTATCATACATTTTATTTTTATTTTAATTGTAATTTTTTTCATATAAAAAAAATTCAATAGATTTAATATTGAACAAAACATTACAATTACTTATAGACTATTATAGTATTATACAATATATTATACTAGTATTTACAATTACTTAAATTTATTTTCCAAATTGAAGCTTAATATATAAATCACATACCGTTTTATTAACAGAATAGTCTTGGTTTGGCACAATACATGTACAGAAATTATATATACATATTTAAAATTGTATTCTCATGATCATGATGAATAATCTGTATCTTCGGATGGATCATCATGATCAGTGTCTGTATCGGTACAACTCAAGTCGCTGATTGTGGTAACAACAGGCCGATTTGTATTTGGTTCGATATCACAATTGTCTTCCTTCTTCCATCCTTTCTGTTTCATTAGTTTCATGTCTTCTTTGGTTAACACACGTACAATTTCACCGCGTACTTTATCTCCTTCAGCTATTGGTTCAATAACAACATAATCATTTCGTTTTACCCACACATTTCGCCTGAACTTAGCTGGCATTGAAACAAGAAATGTTTCATTATCTTCTACTGAGAATACTTCATGAAGATTGTTGCCACGGCCAGCAACTATGCGAACAATGCGTTGATCATCTATTGGACCATTCCAATCAGCAGTAAGCATTTCTTTCTGCACATGTTTACGTTTAGTCGCCCTAGACATTCTGTAAAAAATAACACTTAATAAACAAATTATTTACAAAATCATTTTTTATGTTAACATAAATCTTAAATTAAAATTATTTTTGTTCAGTCTTTCGTTTTATCAGTTTTCCGCCTTTTCTTTTTAAACATTCCAATGTTTCCACCAGACAACTCTATAGCTTTAGTAATGTCTAATGATTCTCCAAGTGGAACTCCATAGCCTTTGAATAATCCATGTGGGTTGGATGGTGTAACACAATCGTTTAGAGCATCTTTTCTAAGGGCGGTATCGACTTCAACAGAACTGAAAAATGCTACTGATTGTGGCAAATCAGTCATGCCTAATTTTTTAATACAAAATGCTCTTACTAGTAAGTTTGTTACGTGTAAAGCTAATGCAGTCTGATAACGATGTTCATCAGGTACTAAATAACGTATCTCATCGTGAAAACTTAGGCAAAACCGTACATTGGGATGGATTAACCAGCGCATGCACACCAACATCAGATGAAGGAAATCAACAGCACCACTTTGCACAACCCAATTTATTCTGGTAGGTATAAATTTATCTATGTCTACTCCATTCATTTCTAAAGCTCGACTGAGTCTAGATTCTAAAAAAGGCGTTTTTGGTTGCTTAGAACATGCGATTTGTTCAAGGCTGTTGAACATTGCAGATTCTGAACCTCCACTCCAAATAGGTTTATTAAACAATTCATCAACGCTCTTATTATAAATAGAACACAGCTCTTGGGCACCAAGTCGGGAATGCTCTCTTTTTTTAACTTCTGGTAAAACAGAGTCATGAAGTTTATAGATTCTGTTTCCTTTTGTCATGTTAAACATGGCAATTGCCTTTTGTTTTGCTTGGGCAGGACTTAAATCTGGATTAAACTGTTTCAATAATCGTTCAGAAAAAGGCTTTCCCGCCCCATAAATCCTAGCATAATTTAATACTTTTGCATTATCTCTTGTAATTCCAATTGCTTTGGCAGTTGAACTGTGCATGTCCGTGCCATCACTTTTCCTACCACTGAGTGTCATCCACCCAAAAGCCGTAGCACCATGTTCTTTGCCATAATAAGAATCTCCAATAACAGATGCTATCCACAATTCTTGAGAATCGACATCTGCTCCAACTAAAGAATAACCTGGTGGTGATTGAATCATACTACGTAATTCTGATCCAACCCGTTCATCGATAGCATTAGCAGCTGTCATCCATGTTCTTTCAACTGCTCTTCGAGTTAATGTTCCACATACTACAACCTGTGGTATAATGGCACCATATCCTTTTGATTTATCAGTCCAAACAACAATTTGTCCTTCAACCCGTTCTTTGTTGTTCCTCCAATAAGATAGCATACGTGATATTTCAATAATGTGCTCAGCATTACTGTCCTTTCCAGACAGTCCATTTTGAGAAAATTTATTTAAAAAATCTCTTGCAAGTGGATTTCCAACGTTTAAATGATTCCCATCTTTATGCGGAAGTTTCAACATACCACAGTCGGCTGCTAAATTTTCTTTGCAAGGTCTATTCCGCATAGTTTTGTAATTTTTTTTTTTGAAAATACATTCATACTTGACTAGATTTGTTTGTACAGTTTCATGAAGTTCAGTATTATTAATTTTTATTTTACAGTCACAAGATGCATTACTTTTAATATAGTGGTTTTGTAATTCTTTAAGTGGTACCAATTCAGCATCTGGAAGTTTTATGTCAGTCTCATATGGTACAAGTTGGCCCCAACCATGGCCCCTCACATAATGTAGGGGGAGGGATTTCCACATAAGAGAAAGAAGTTTAGGAACAAGATGCATACCAGAACTTATGAGTAATGGACCAGGAACCCAATGCGGATCTTTGGGAGGCGAACACAGTTTTCTATACCATTCTGGATAGCCAGCTAGGTGAGGGGTTTTAAGTGGCAATCGTTCACTTGTTGCCATCAATGGTTTAAACATGTTTTCTAATTCAAAGAATCTCTTTTCATAAATATCTTCAGGTTCTATAGGTTTATTTTCTACTGTAATCTCCGGTTTCTTTTTTTTCTCTTTTTTTAGTTTCAACACCTTAGATGTCCAATTTTGGTCCCAGAGCCACAAATCTCTTTTATAGTTGTCATTATACATTAATTGACAAGCTTGATTCGCTTGTTGTGAAAGTAAAAATTTAGATTCTATGTCCAGATCTTCATATATTTCATTTGAAGTGTCTAAATACCTTTTCCAATTTGAATTTACTGGCAAATATGATGTGCCCAATTCTAAAATACCAGCCAATGTAACAGGATGAGGAAAACGTTCTAAAAATAAAGGCCACAATTTTCTCAAGACTTTAGTAGTGGCTTTAACATCATTTGCACAGTATGTCATTAAATTTTGAAAATCATTATTAATATCTTGTAGTGAACCTTTAACAAATGTATCACGATCACTCTTAGACAACTCAGCCTTACAATATAATTTATAGACTTCATTTAAACTATTTAATGAGCTGTGTTGTTGCCAAGATTCATCTTCGATGACATCTTTTGATTTTAATAATGTTTTTTGATAACTAGTGATTCCACTGATGGCCACATGCAGAGACATGGTGTCTATAAATCTAAGAGCTGTACGATTTATCCAATATTGCTCCATAATTCTAGCTCTATCATAAGCAACGTGATGGCCTACACACAACTTGGGAGTGTTTGACCATTCGGTGATTTTCTCTTTAGATTTAATTGATGTCTCTAATGGAATGAGATCTTTACATGAATAGCCAAGATATCTACCAGACCTGGTATTGCAGCTGATTAAGTCTTTACTCACCCAACTGTACCAAGCTTCTGATGTAACAGCAGTTGCTAAAGTAGGTAAGTCACCTTCTTTACAACATACTTCAACATCAAAAATCATTACTTTCTCTTTGGGATAATCGCATTGCTCGATTTCCTTTCCATACCTAGTCCAACCTTCTCTGAACACCCATTCCTGAGGCATTTCTGGTATTTCTTGTTTTAAAAATTCATCCATCAAAATTGCATACGGTTCACTTTGCATTTTACCAATTTCATAAAAGTGATCAACTATGTTTCCCTCTAACGGAGGTAATTGGAGTTCAATATCGGGCACCTTGTGTAATGTCGATGGCAAATCATATTTGGACAGCTCATTCAGGGCCATCTTCAGAACATTTTCATCTGTGGTATGAGACTCGTTGAAAAGCTGTTCATATAAGTTGGCAGACAACATTTGAATGTTCAATGGGTTTTTACGAAATTCAGTTTTCTCCATTGGTATCAAACGCGGTATTCTAGTCGACGAGTCTGACACTACAGTTTCTTCTTCTCGAGATTTCTCAGCCAACAGTTCGGTTATTTTGCCTGGTCGGTGGAATTTGGATACGGTACAGTATTTTCCATGGCCGCGCACACATTGCGCATAATAAACGTTAGCACGGTTCCAATACATTCCAATACACTGTATAATTTAAATTATCAGAACACGTGCGTTACATGTACATAGAGCCTATAATTTTAATGTTTTTAATTCCGATAAACGGCACTTACCTTTGTAGATCAATCAACCCTCGAACATTTCGTGAATAGTCAACCGAACAATGTGAGCTCGAATTTCTTACTATATGTCTCTATGACTGAAACGATGAAAATAATAAATAATAATAATATGCGATACCAATTGCAATGCTCATGAACTTCGAATAGTATGGCGCAAGAATGTGTAGAGAACAACCGAACATGTTGATGTTATCTTCACTACATCGTGGTAGTGTGGTATGGCGTCGTGGCGATTGGCGAAGAACACAACGAAACACTCAAGTCTGTTCCTAAGTTCCAGTTAGTTTACTATTGGACTATTGAGATAGTGATACTAAGATAAGGATCGGGATGATATATATTATATTTTGCGGTTTACAGTTTACACTGAAATCATAGCGTAGGTGTTACGGAAAATGTTTTATTTTTTTCAAATATAACTAGGTATTTAAAAAAATGTTATTTTCCTATCATGTATTAATGTTATAAATGTAATATTTTAAACTCGTTTTTCGCCAATCAGTGTACCTATTATTTAGTGTTAAAGTGGAATCGTATAGCGTATTACACAGTGATATTATTTATACAATTAGACTTACTCACCAAAATGACTGGTAAGCTAATTTGTTTATTTACTTTGGATTCATTTTAATTGGACATTTCAATCATTGCGTTAATAATCATTATGTTTGAACATATTCACAATATATTAACAAAAGCTACTTAAATTTTTAAGTTTAATAAATTAAAAATATTCCCAAAGCTTACAGTATTTAATACCAAACGCAAAAAGGAATCATACTGACAAATGATTATTTTTATTTTCAAATTTTTAGATAGTTCGTTATTGGATTTATCTAGTCAAGAATTGCGAAAGTTGCCAAAAAATGAAAACAGCCATATTATTAAAGTCTTGGATGTGCGAAAAAATTGTTTACAGAAACTGGAAAATGTTGAACAATTTACTGAACTTAATGAAGTAAATAATTTAAAAAAATAATGTATGATATTTATAAAAGTACCTAACTCATATAATACATTTTTAAAGTTAATTGCAAGCCATAATCAGATGATGAGAATGTATACGGTGGCAAAATTATCAAAACTAGTAAAATTAGATTTATCTAATAATCACTTGATGAGTATTGAAGGTCTCAGAGATTTAATCAATCTTTCATCGCTTAATTTGTCCAATAACAAAATCAAAGTAAGTGTAATTCTTCCATCAAATGTAAAATATATTTCACTACGTTTTTTTTCTTCAGATTATTGAACATTTATCAACCAATGTCAACTTAGTGCACATAGACTTGTCGTTCAACAGCATATCATACATTACCAATTTGAGTCATCTTTTAAAACTTGAAGTATGTTGTATACATTTTAAATAGATTTTAGTCAACGTTATGATATTTATTATAATTATTTATAACTTCTATGAATTATTAAAAATAACATTTTATTATACTTACAGAGGCTTTTCTTGCATTCAAATAATATTTGTCATTTGACCAACTGTCAACATTTCCTTCCAGTCAACTTGCTTACTCTTACTTTTGCCAATAACAATCTTAATGATTTGAATGAAATATCACAGCTTTGTCGTCTTGGTTTGTTAAGAGAAATCACTTTAACTGGTAATAGTTGTCTAGAAGGGTACACATTTAACTACAGACCATTTGTAGTCAATTGGTGCCCTAGTGTGAAAATAGTTGATGGTTATGCTGTGGACGACATTGAAAAGTAAGTATTTGATAAGTCAATGCAAATAATATTTGCTAATAATAGATGATAATAATGTGTGTTTCCAACAACTAAATTAAACAAATTGAAATTGTTTTCTTGTATCTGTCTAACATTTTGAAAATCTATTGCTGATATAGAGGCAAAATTTGGAAAAATATTTAATAAATTATTTATTTTCAGTCTAAAAGCTGAATGGCTATATAGCCAAGGTCAAGGAAGAAAGTTTCATATTGGACAACATACTGCTCTTGTCCGTTATTTAACAGAAACATGTCCAATTACTAGCCATGCTTTAGAGACTGAGCAAGAAAGAAAATTGAGACTAGTTTTGAGCAAAGCTCAACAATATAGAGAACAATTACATAGTATATATTTATATAATTTGAATCAGAGTGAATTTTTATTGTCATATACTATTTTGATCTGCCTTAGGAACGAGTACACCAAATATTAAAGAATCAGGACAAGAATCGTTGATGACCAGAAGTCTAGATCCTAGTGTACTGAAGTCTACAACTCAAAGACTATCTACTGGATCAGAAAGCTGCCAAGGAACACCTAGTAGTATGTCTCGCAGTGTCCATTTACCAATGACTGAAGTCAATTGTTTTGTCCAATCTCCACCTCTACCAGCGGCCAGCACTATGTTACCGATATTAGACTCATTACCTAGTCCACTCACGCCAAGTATACCTAAATCAAGACCTATAATTGGTCTGCAAACTCCAGCTGGTGAAGAGTCTCGAGCACCTACTATGGAAAAATTGCAAATGATTAAAAATAAAGCTTCACAAATGAACGGTATTGAGAACAAAGGTAAATTTAATCATAATTAATTATTAATACTGTTTATTTTAATTATATATATATTTTTATTTTATGCAGATTTACACCAGTCAGCCATAGTAATACAAAAAATGTGGAGAGGTTATCATACTAGAAATTTGAACAAAAATGTAACTAATATATATCAGCATGTACAAATGCTACGTTTCAATCAATACATTAAGTAAGACATTTCATCTAAATGTTGTTTTCAAAATTATATAAGTTTGGGATTTTTAGGCAAATGAGCAAAGATTTAGTAGATACTAAAAGTACTCTCGAAAAAGAACATAAATTAGTGGTATTACAAATGCAAGCTATAAATGAGTTGTGGAAAAAGGTATTTATATTATTACCATTTATTTTATATAGTATATATTTATGATTACATTGTATGATTCTGAAACTGTGGTGTGTGACGTGTTAAGTGTAACCATAGATTTAAAAATACTTATAACTCATAAAGTATACTCTATTCCACAAGAGAATGTCACTAGTCGCGCCTCGACTGACACTGGTGACAGCGCAAAGGCTAAATTTCTCTCACTCTTTACCTCTTGGTGGCAATGTATGCGAGGAGTCGTTGCCTACCGCTGGCCGGACAATTGTAACCGATTGGTGCGAAAATGGTGGGGATAGATGAAAAAACATGTATGTTCTTTTGTGGGACAGAGTATAGTAATTGCTTGTTTAAAATTCAATTTTCGTAATCAAAGTACTCTGAAATATATAATAAGAAATTTTTAGATAGATTAGGTAAATATTTAATTTTTATGTGAACTCTCAATACAATTGTTTTCATATTTTAAAAATTAATAAATTTATATTGTCAATGATTAAAGGTTAACAGTATGGACAACAGATTAGGTAGTGAGAATAATGGTGATTCCAAGTGTCTGACATGCTCTTCATTGGATACTAAGGTACTTAATATTGTTCTCATTATATAACATGTTTAGACTAAAATTGTTAATAGCTAAGAGAGAAATGTACAAATGTTGATTTTGTAACAATGTTTTTATCATTTTTCAATAGAAATAATTTTTAAGTAATCAAAAAATGTAAATGTCTTAAGTCTTGGAAACCTTATCTATAAATATTAAATTATAAATCATGTTTGGTTGGTATTTTGAAATTAAATTTAAATTTTCTCAATATTATTGACTTAACAACTGCTGATTCTACTTTTACTGTATTAAAGTTATCTTTCCATTAAATCAAAATCTTAAGATTAAAAATTGTAACTAATATTAAAGCATATTGATATAAGAGATATGATTTCTATAAGAGTTTCATTAAGTTATTTTATTTTATGTTATATTATGATGTATAGACTTATTTTTAATTCATGTTAAGTAAAATAATTTGTTAAACATAGTTGTTGCATACCTATTAAAGTTAAAGTAATTTTAATCCATATAATTTATAAATAATATTAAAAAATAAAAATAGTAGACTCCAATTTATATTTATTTTAATAAAATGGAGTCTTGTCTTTTGGATATTTTTATTGAAACACCTTATAAGAACAAAAAACAAATACATTTTCTTCAGGTTCAACAGTTGCAGGAGTCTATGGATCATGTATTGCGGTGTGTGAGCCCTTCATCACAGAGTGTTGCAGAAACACAAACAGATATCACTGCTGTACAGACACCAGTTGAAGGGAGTTGTCCGAACGCCAACGCAATAACTAGACCTAACTTCCTTCCCCTTTCCAAATCATGTACGAATCAAGTTGTAAAAACTACCAACGCCACTGCAATGTCTTCCGACATCTAAATTATAATTCTATGAAACCAAAACTGTCCAAAATATTTATTGTAAAATACTTTTGTACTCATTGTTAAAAAGTCATGAATACTGTTGCAGTGATCTAGTCAAACTGATTGAACTTAATTATTCCTTTTTTTTTAATCCTTATTATCTATTTTATATTTTAGAGAACTTAATATTATAATATAATACTTAATTTACATTATAATGTATTCTTATTGGTTTTTTTTACAATGATATTATATAATAAAAATAATTTCACAAGCGTTTTGTTGATGTATTTAGTATAGTGTTTAACATCTACCAGTTGCTTTAAATATAGCATATTATATCATTAATAATTATTGTTTGCTGGTAAAAATATTGCAAAATTTACATTGAGATTATCAACAACCTTCTAACAGATTTTTTTTGAGGTACACAAGATTTTGTTTTCAATAATGAGAAGCTCACAATAATTCCATTACTAATTATAATATAATTATTTGTAATATTAAATACAAACACTATTATATCGTAACAAAACTAGATTTCACTTGTGATCGGATACTGATGGTACCATAATATGTGATATACACATAGTAGTAGAACATCTTATATTGATGCCCATAAGTAAAGTTTTTTTTGTAAGCCTTATATCTGTAAACCAATTTACTAAACATTGGGCGGTTAATTTTTATATAAAAAAAAATCAATAATTAATAATTTATTGAATTATGAAAATATAGACTTTATTTATGGAATATAGATATCATTATGGATATCGTGCTTCTGAGATCATTTTTAAGAAATTTAAGTTTTGAAAATGTGCTTCCTGCACTTGGTACAGTAACCAATAATGTAAGAAATAAGTAAAATGCAAAAAATCAGGGAAACAAGTAATTAAATTATTAGTAATTTAATCATATCAAAAACACTTCCACAGTTTAAGCTCAGAAGCCTTCAGAAATGTAAATGATTCAATTCGTGCGGAGAGGTCTGCTGGATTAAAGTCCTCAAATTCATCCTCCAACTTTTTTACCCTCTTATACTGATCTCTGTATCAAATATTACAGTCAGCTTTAAAAAACAACAAAATAAATCACTTTTTTCACTAAGTTTTCTATAACTGTTACAACATAATGCACTGAATATTATATTCATATGAATAATAGGTACAAATGTACAATAAATTAACAGCAATTTTTTATCAGTTGGTACATTTTTTTTCAAACAATTCAGAGTTGTACTACGACTTACGAGGCTTGCAGAAACTCTGCCTTTACTCATATGTAGTTTCACCTCTATAGGGGCCACAATAATATATTATTTTTTGTTTATAAAATAATGTATAAGTCTTATACACGGATTATTAGAAAAACATCAAATAAAATAAACATATAATAAAATATAATAATATTGAAGTTTGTAAGAAGACATTTCGGGAAATGATAAATATCTCCAAAAATTAAATATATGATCCTATATGTACATTGATTATCGACAAGATGTTACAACCAAATACATAACAGTAATTGTATGGAAAAAGAAGAAGTTAAAGTATTATCTTATGTTATTTATAATGAAAAAAAAAATATGTTATACAAATAGAATTCATTCAATGTTAAAAATAACATAATGATATATGATTACGACATATTCAAACAAACTATAATTTATTTGTTTGATACTTATCAAACATAGTTAGATAATTAAAACAATTAAAATATAATTAAATAATTGACAAGAGTATTTAGGCAAATATATCAATTTTATTATCATTCACAGTTTATATACTATACATTGTTATACCTTATGGCAATAAATCTCATTAATAATACTTTATTTATACAAATATAACATATATATAAATCAATAATACAAAAATTATCCAATATTATTGAATTTTAAACTTGAATGAAAGCATACACTAAAATAAGAGTAGTGAAATATAAATATCACAGATGAACTAAGTATGCTGAGCTCTGAAACTGGAGCTTTTGCAATGGCCTTAATAGTTGTTATGACGTTCCCATGGCTACGTTTCTCCTTCATTTGGATCAAACATTAATGCAGTCACAGCAAACATTATAAATACAACCCCGCCCACAATAGTTACTATTAAAAAAAAAAAAAAAAAACAAATACAAAATGTATTATTTCAAGTTTTCATTTATTATTTATTTTAAAAAACTAACCAGTTCGAACAGATATTTTTTGAGCAATGAAACGACCACCGATAACAGCTAATCCGGTACATAAAGAATGTCCTAAGACTCCTCCAAGTGCAACACCATAAGCATCCTATAAATGGTTTAACAATTATAAATCAAAATAAACATATTTATAGTCTCCATTTTAATATTTTATACTTCTCTAGCTGCCAAAATTATAGTGGCTAATTGACTACGGTCTCCCCATTCTGCGAGGAATGTCATTGTAAAAGCTTGAATCAGAGTTTTTGACACAATCAACAAACTCTTACTACCGAATCGTAATCGACATCTTTTTGGAGCCTGTTGTTCAATGTCAGCATCCTGTTGTATCAAAGTCAATGTCAGCACAATACATACAATTTATTTAATTTTATAATTGTGAACATAATGATTTCAGATTATATTATATTTCACTTGAGTACTTTAGAGAAATTGCGATTAGGTAATAATTATTACTAAAGTTAAATAATTAAGTGCAATATAAATTACACCTAATCAAAAAGCCTTTGAAAATCTACGAGCGGTTATTTTGCTGGGTAAATATTTCATGCTGCAATGATTTGAAAAAATAAAATACACCTACATTTCTATTTATTTGTTATTGCTTAATACAATAAAATTGAGTAAATCGCAATAAATAAATGAAGAGATCTAGCAGTTTTTGTTATTATTATCATATTGTACAGTATTGTAGTTTATTCAGTTGTTCTTACCTTAAAGTCAGTACTATTGTCAACAGTCACGTTGATAGTTTCAACCACGGATGGCATAACCGCAGGCGATTTATCGTCTTTCTCGGTGACTGGAGACGCATCTTTATTATTCTTCTTGTTCTTTAGGTATTTAATAATTTATTCCCAAATAATAAACAGCCCAAAGAAGTGTAGAAGGGTAATGTTAAAAAAATGCCAAAATGAAAAAAAAAAAAATTAATTAACCTTAAATATTAATTAATAGTTTGAAGACTACAGCAAATAATAAATACAGTTAAAAACTAAAACATTTAATACTTAAATTGTAATTACTGATCATCAACAAGGAATGTTTTGTGATTCTGAATAAAGCAAGGCAACTTATGATTTTTAAATAACATGTTTTTAAAATTCACCAGTCATTTTTAATAAAAATAAATAAATACATAGGAAAAAACAAGAACCAGTAGCAAAATGTTTACCATTTTTAAGTAAACCAAGCTCAGCTTACAATTATTTTATAAATGGTAATAATGATAATACATTTAAATTATAATTCAAATAATTAAAAATAACAATTAACGAATACAAGATACGGAACAACAGATCAAATATTGATTTACCGATTATGGTAGTAAAATTAGTTACTTGAATTCATAATAATTAATACAAACATTTAGGTCATATATAGATAATTATGGAGTCATAATTATCAAATTAGACACAGCCACGCCATTAATGAAAATGACCATCAATTATATGTTATATGTATAATTTATAGGAGCTAACACTCAGTACCTTATCTTCTTTATTGGATTGTTGGAAATAATAATAGACCCATTATGAATTTTGTTATGAATGTTGTAACAATTCACAGTTTTTCACTTAACAAGCTATTATTTATGTTATAGAAGAAAATAATTTCTAAGGAGATTGCAAACGGTTTTAAGATAAACAGGAGGCCTATTTTCATAAAATAAGTCATTTAATGATGTGATAGGCCATTAATATAATGAAAATTCATTTAAATTCTTTAACCATTTTTATTGAGAACAGTATTCCAAATTTTATGAAAATAAGCTCTATATTATTTCTTTTATTATTATTTCCGTACCAATCAATCTGTGGTGCTGTTGAAATTAAAATAATTACTAATATATGACAATAAGGACCAGTAAAATAATACTTGTAATTGATATAAGAATTTGTTTTATTTCTCCTACTGTGGGTTAGTTAATAATTTTATGTTTGGAATTGGTATAATCTGTACAATTTAATAATTTTTAATGAATAGTAAATTAATCCTATACGAGACTTTAATATAAATCTGTATCAGATATATCTGTGTTTATTAATCTTTTTTTATTTGGACATTTTAATTTTAAAGTGAGTTAATTATACCCGAGTATAAATATATAAAAAATATTTACATTTAAAAATGAGTATGAATATTGTTTTTCTCATGTGACAATAGACAAAAAAAAATTGTGAGAGAACTTACTCAGACATATTCATCTTCATGTTAAGTGATTGAAAATGTACTTAAAATTGTTCTATGTTTATAAGATTGATATTCACATCGTTTAAAGGAGTTTGTAATAAGAAAACTCAGTAAAAGTGAAGGTTATTTTACACTAAATCTAAATACATTCTATAATCATTTAACTTTTGCATATAAAAGATAAGAGTTTTTATAATTGGCAAATTAAGCAAAAACAAATTCATATAAGCTATTACCACTCAGCAATAAATTATAAACAGATTTTATCATATTGTGTTACAGACCCAATTAAGGGGATTGAAAACGGTCATTATTTTGTGCCAAAACACAATATTTTGTTCATCATATATTCATATCAATCAAAATAAATAATAAAGCGTAATAAATAATATAGTTGTAAATAGATCTGAATTTATCATGAAGCTTTCTTGAAAACAACCAAGTTTTAGATTCTGAGCAGAGCAATGAATGTATTGATTTTACAATGGTCTGTTGTTTCTTTTTTTAAAATTATAAAATATTTTGATGTAAAAACATCTTATATGGCATTTAGATGTTTCTGCTTTGGCAGTTAAAATTTTTATTATCTTTTTTGTTTAATGCTCGATACCTATTATATTATTAAAAGAAAAGACAATTTTTATATCTGAAATTCTACTGGTTTTTCAAATTTTTTGAAAAACACCAAAAATTTTTTTGCCAATAACAGTCTAATTTAGGCGTCAACCTTGGAGGTAGGTCGAGTAAATTTTCTATAGAGGTAATTTTTTTTGAAAAACGAAAAATGACCGTAGATACATGCATTTTTCAATGAATGTTTATGTAGCATTTTCTATACACCATAAAACTTTCAAACATTTTGCCTCGTTTTGAGCTGTTTACAGATACTTTTAATTTAAATTTTTTTTAGTTTTTTTCTATAATTGTCAATAAAATGTTGAAACCGAAATGATAAAAGTTTTTGCGGAAAAATAGGTCTTTAGCTATAACTAGGTAAAATCATTATTAAAAATTATAAACGTTTGGATGGAAGTTATAATAACATTTAAAAACTAGTTACCTATCTATTATATAATATATAAGATGTAAAACCAAACATGTTTACAACATAGAGTACTTTTTATTGGCAATCCCCTATTTCTAATCCAAAATCCTAGCAACTCCACTGGACAACAACTAAGCACATAGGTACTTGAAGTAAAAAAAAAAAAAACACGCTAACGACAGAGGAGTAATGACTAATGATATATGCAGTGCATTGTACTACATTGTATACTCATGACACATGCTTGTGAAAGTTTTATGTTAGGTAGACTAGAGTGCTTAGTTTTATGCGCTAAAAAGTATCAAAATATGATATATAATAATATAATATGCAGTAAAAACTGTGAAGATAAAAACAAATATGCAAGAAAAAAATTTTGAATTATGTAATATGGTAAAAAATGCACAATTTTTATTTGATAATTATTATTATTAGTTTATAAATGTATGTGGCACATAATAAAATAATTTAAAACAAATTAAACAACTTAGAAATAGGTATCTACTTAATGAACTTATCTTTATTTTAATTACTATTTAGTGCCTAATAAATTATTTTAGAATTTTTTACTTAAAAGTATTTTATATTACATCTTTTTTTTAATTTTGTGAAAATATACACAATATAAATTTAATAACCATTAAATAGGCAGTAATATGAAAAAATAATTTTACAAGCTTCAAATGATTATGATAAGTAAAAATTACTGGCAAAAATCTAAAAATGTGAAAAGGAAAAAAATATACAATTGCATACAAATCTGCAGTTTAGTTATGACATGAATTATGATATAATTATGTGCACACATACTAATGGTCAACCATAAGGTATGAACCTACACAATATACTCTCTCATACTATTACCATTGATTATAAATACTATAAATTATATAATATATATAATAAATGCTACAACAAACTTCTTAAATAGTGACAAAAATATGCAATCTCTTAAAGTTGTAATTAGTGTCATAGAACAAACATTATTCAAAATTATATTACCTTTTTTTTTCATGGTATTGAGGACCGGAGCAGGAACCAAGTAGCCAATACTTCTCCTCCGGCCCCCAAAAATTATATTACCTATATCATTATTTAATTTATAAAAACTATTTTTAGATAAGTTGAAAAACAAATATTTTCTATCTTTTTAATAATGTTGCTATGCCGCTAAGGAAATGTTAATTTCCCAAATATCAACTATTCAAACAAAACATTGATGGTTGGTAACCCTATTATTGAAGAAAATGTTTAGTTTTTAACCAGATGGTAAAATTGTAAGCAGCATACGACCGGGCATACGACTATAATATGCCTATCCATATTTACATTATATTGTTAATTAATTCAAATGTATGCATTAGCATTGACTATACATACTATACTCCGTGCCACGAGAGAAGTAATCCGCTAGTCGCTACGCGCATGCAGACTGATGGCAGTGACCGTTCCGAGGCCCCGTTTCCCCCACTTTACAACATGATACATACTAATAGCACAGAATAATATTCTGTGCTAATAGTATTACCTTGACAAATTAGATAGGTATCATCACAGTATTTTGATACGCATCCTCCACTCTTTAATTCACCTTTATTGTAGTTCTCCACTTCTTATAGGCTGTTAATCATATACATACATATATAACATAGAATAAAACCAACCAATGAGAATTGGAGAACTACGACATGGGCCGGAGGTGAAGGAGATGCGTATCTACTGTGCAAAAGTAGTACAACTGTGATGATACGTATCTAATTTGTCATGAGTATTACTAAATAACCAGTGCTCGAATTGGAAATAAAAAAGAAGGGGTGTTAAAGGACTTATAAAAAATTAGCGTTCCACTCAAAGATTTAAATCAACCTAACCAGTGGGTTAACCCACAACCCCCCAAGTAGTATTAACAACACCAATCAAACAATCATTATAACTATACACAATGTATACTATAACAATAAATAAATATTATTAAATTAGGTACAAACAAATCTTTTTATTTTATTTTGAAAATACAAAATTTAATTGTTTACATTTTTAATATATTCCATAGTTCTACATATGAATGATTATTATCTTCATTATTTTGTCGCTTAGGACAGTTAACTTCATCGGTGGAGTACGATTGAGAGCATTTTACCTTTTTAGGGATATGACTGAGCGCAGTACCGGAATAACAAAGAATATGATTTTGACTATTCAAAAGCGTACGATTGCACGTCAAATTGAATGCGAAGTTGCAAAATTGTTTGTAACAAATTTCAGTTATTTCGTAATTAATTTTTATATTTAAATACAGATACAAGTTCATCCATTCAGGAAGGTTTTTAATACATTTAATTAAATACTTATTATTATAAAAAAAATATCGTTAAATATACACAGTCTATGTCATAAAAGTAAATAATTATCGTTATAAAAAAAAAAATATTCATTAAAAAAGGTTAAATATTCGAATAGATAAATAAATTAAAAAGTAAATAATTGAAAAAAGTTGACAAGTTACATTTAATATTTTTAAGTTCAATTTTAAAGCCCCGATACCGATTTCCAACTAAGGCTAAAAACTTAAGTACATTTTCTGTCGTTATAGTTTTATTTGATTCACACCTGTATATTTGGCAACGTTGCTAAGAAGTTAAAATAATGTAGGGCTCGCAATCGTAAGCCTAAAAATGTACCGCTGACAAATACAGAGCGCAATAGTATTGCACCCAACTTCATCAGCACATTGTTTGCCATTTTGTATCCATGATACAATATAAGGCTCAGGTACAAACATGTGCACGGGTAGCCCCATACAATTAATCAACATACTTTTTGGGTTCAAAGCATTTCTTTTAGTAGACACAATATTGAACTGAACTATATTATTTTGTTCAAATCATGGACTAAGATATAATGGACTAGAAACGACGTGGTTGGCGGGGGTCGGGACGGCCACCAAAAGGTTCCACTATAGATTTACAAGTTTTTGCGCCCCCCCCCCCCCAATTCGAGCACTGCAAATAACATTGCCGACCGTTGAAGGTCGTTTTCGTGCAACGTCGACATGTGAAATATGTGCGACAGCGATTTGGTCGGGAAACGGGTTACTTCTCTCGTGGTACGGAGTATAGTAATTATAATAAATGGTAATAGATATTTAATAATTAGAGAATACAAACAAAACAAAATGTAAAGGAAAAAATATGAAGCATTAAGGGCCGTTCTTACAATGCCCGGTTAAAGTTAACTGACACTTAACAGGCTGAATTCTGCTGGTAATAAAATCTGTTATCACTTTGTTAGCATTCATCGACACTTAACCGGACATTGTAAGAACAGCCCTAACGATAAATACATTTAATTTAATAACCAATATTTATTTTCAATTTAACAAGAAATGGCATAAAAAATTATAAAAGGTAAGCCAAGCATAGATAACACAGATTTATACCTAAATAATAAAGGTGTTCTCAGCACAGGCTAAAAGCAATTAGAAAAATTAGCATTAATGAAATTTTGTGTACCCATTTTTCTAATACTTAAAAATATTTATAGGTAGACACATATAATATTTTTATTTTGTGTTTCATCGCATTTAACTCTCTAAAGTACTCAATAATATAACATAAATAAATATAGCATTTAATACTTGTAAAGACTTAACTAATAACTAATAAGTAATATTAGAGTTAATTAATTATGATATATTTAAATATATATAGGTTAAAATGCATTTTATGATATTAATAGTAGGCATTGATGAAAGAATAATATTTATAGCAATGGGTAGATTAAATTTGTTTACAGAATAAATATAAATGTTACTACTAAAGTAGATTGATTGGACAGAAGAAAACATTTTTTTTTTTATAATCATATAACTTCTTCAATCCAAGCTTTATAATAAAGCCAATTTATAAAAAGAACGATAATTATTTATGGATAATAAAATAATATATGGGTCAGGGCGTCAATTGGGGGTGGGCAGAGTGTGCAACGGCACCACTAACATAATAGAATAAATAATTAAATAATTGGCCCTCCATTAATGCTCCTATGCACCGATATGATAACTATTAAAAATTAATAAAATATTCTTGGCCCAGTGGTGCTGAAGTTCAAAATTTTAACTATAGACACCTCCACATAAAATTTTGACACCCTCCTATTTATTATAATTACCTTACCATTCAACAAGTAAATACATATTTTGGCGCCACTGATTCATGCATGTAATTTAAATTTATTTTTTCTATCAGCTTTATTATCAAATGTATCCCTATTTGATAACCGTGTGAAGTGAGTCTAATTGCGCCTTCGGTAATGCAACGCTGTGGATTCGTATCGCCATCAAAATGATAAAAAACATGTTCTAAAATGCATCATATTTTCAAGCAATAGCGTTCTGAAATTCAGCGCATAGAATGCGCTGATGAATCGGAACATCGTATATTCGTATTTTCAATCATAACTAAAACCCATTTGCTACAACCCACTGAACAATGCTAAAACCCAATTGTCTGATGGATATGCTCTTAAAATCACTGATAAGGCCCGTTATCACTAACGAGTAACGAATAAATTAATGTGTTCTAAAATAAAGCGATTTTTACCGATTTCATGTAGCATACTGTATTTCCAACAAGAATTGCAGCTTTGCATTACCCAAGGCGCAATTATTCTGTGGTTTTATTATGTAAGACAGTTTGTGCCAGTCTGCTGGTATCAGCTATAATGGAGTGAGCATAGCATAGCTGATAATCTATTAGAACCTGTAGAAAAATAACTAATGTGTTATTTTGTATAAATATTGAATAGTATTTAATTTTTGAATTACATTTATTAAAAATAATTTCTTAAACCGCATTTGCTTTTAATACACCAAAAAGTAGTAAAATGGCTTCTGTTGGCCGCTAGTTGCTACTTGTTTTAGTTGCTTATATGCTTTTATTAAAAGCCTTCTAATACATTGAACTGCTAGCAATTTAATATGCTATCTAATATAAATTAGTTGATATGAGTAATTTTTTATTAGGATTATAAAAGGGAAGGAGATAATATTAACATACTTAAATACTTTAAACGGCATGGTTATTGTTTGGATATCAATGTTAAAATTGGCCTGCCTAAAATCTTGCACACCCGGAAATAAATTGATTTGACGCCCCTGATATGGGTTTCAGATATGGATAGATCATACACAAAATAAGGTACTTTAATTTTAATTTAATTGTAAATAGGCGAGTTAAAATTGTAATTGTTATAATTACATTTGCTAACTACGAATACCAAATAAACAATTCTGAGGTAAATGCTCACATAGCTACTGCTAAGGGCCTGCGGTTATACAATATTCTTAAAAAGGTGCTAACGATTTGATACCGGACCAATAACTTTGAAGTGTTCCAAAATGAATGTATAAATAATTATTTAAAATATTTCAATCTATCAACTAATAATTACTCCCTATAGGTACTGAGTAGAAGAATAAGACGACCATTAAGATTCGTACTACCAAATTAGATACAATAAATACACTTTTTTACAAAAAAAGAAATATTGATAGTTGTTATTTTTCATTTTTATAATTTGATTTGATTCTTTAAAATATCATAATATATAATATATAATATTTAATACTCATTGAGTATAATTTTAAATTCATTAATGCAAATTACTATTGGGCCGTCACCACAAAATTGGGTGTTATGTAATTTTTCAAATATGATTTATATTTGAATTCTATAGACTAAGTAAAAACAATTTTCTTATTGTATATTATTCTTAATAATTCTAAGAAATCTGGTAGTTATTACAATTTCCTGTTATTTCTATTTAAATTCTTTTTTACTGGGAAACATTAGTAAATAATAAATTGGTGTTCTACTAAAGTTTGGGTACTTTTGTTCAATATTTACTCATATATTAATATCTAGGTAAATGTATAAGTATATAACTTACTTATATAATTATATTTTAGTCTTAACATTTAAATATATTATTTTTGTTTAACAAGTTAAGGGATTTATCACATTTACATACATTATTATTTACTATACACAAATACAGAATGAAATTTTCAAAATATTTTGATTTTAGCGATGTTTAGGTACTTATTCACACAATTAAGCTGTATAATATGGTATGCCGGTATCAACATAATAATTATATGCAGTTATAACATTAAAAGAATATCTACGTAATAACTTGATTTTACATATCAATATTATTTTTCCATTATTGATGATAATTAGAAGATAAATGACTATGACAATATTACAAAATATGTTGGTCCTGACTTAGAGGTATGTACAGTTTTTTTTATCAAAAATTAGTACAACCTTCTTTTTATATGTAATATCTTTAGAAAAATAGGCTGACAAGACCTTGTGAATGTTGATTGAATTTTATTTTATTGTGTGTATGATATACCGATTTAACCCAAGTAAGTACCGATATATTTAATTGAGGTATAATCTGTTATTGGTTAAAAACTGAGACACCAAGCATTTAGTTTTATATAGCACCACTTTCATTAACACATACTAATTTTTAAAATAACATACACAGAAATTTAAGTTCTTTGCCAAATTGAAGCTTTCTGCTTATTAATAGATAAAATTTAATTTTTACCTCATCATCTTTTCGTCGTAAATTTGCTTGTACTTCTTCAAGTTCATCTTGTCCTTCATTAGGAGACATTTTGAAACCTTCTCTTAACATTTTAAGTCCAAACACAGCAAACAAAGCTGTTGATATGTAATATGTGTACGCTCGAGGTATAACTGTTGCTGCATATCCAAATAAAACTGTAAAATAAATAAAATATAATAAAATTAAAAATTTTCTTCAAAAGAGTATCATTGGAAACCTTGTTGGAAACATTTTATATTATATAGGATGATTTACCAAGCATGTTCACTTCTATGTTCTCTATAATCCATGATTTTAATCAAATTCCGAGTATTGACATTGTTAATAGGACGCTACCCATACATTTCTTGTCTGTCTTACACACGCACAACATAGCAAATTGTCGTTCATCAGCTTCAATAGTGTGCTGTTAGTTTTAATACTAGAGTGAATTGACCTATTATACAACTTTTAGGTAAGAACGTTATCTGTCCTTAAGCATTGCCGATTATACGAAATTTTCATTTTCAAGCAAGATATGGCTATGTAAAATATCAAAAATTAGTAATGCTCATATCTCGCTTGAAAATTAAAATATCGAATAAAAGCCAAAGCTTAAGCACAGAAAATTTTATTATCTAAAAAAATGTATAATAGGTCAAATCACTCTAATATCAAAACTAACAGCACACTATTGAAACTAGTGAACGAAAATGTGCCATGTACGTGTGTAAGACGGAAACAACAGATGCATGGATAGCATTCTTTTAAGTAGGATACAATTTTAAGATTTTTTATATTATTTAGTGTCCTGATTGCAATATATACCTGTTTTTAAATTAAGGAGCAACCTATTTTAATGAAAATTATAAAATAAATAATTCGTTTTTAAATGTTGTTGAAGGTACCTACCTACTATTTAAATTAGGGATGGGTTCTCGAACACTTCGAACCCTCGAACAGCTCAAACTTTAAGAAATTCAAACAGTTCGAAGTCTCGAGAAAAATGCAAGTTCGAAAAAAGAGTGTGTCGGCAGATAATTTTTTTTCTCGTATGTGTAGGCACTGTAAATTTTTTAAATCCGGATAATAACATTAAAATTAACAAACTCTGAAATCTCTTAATTTTCAAGTTCGATAGATCGAAAGTTCGAAATACCAACATGTTCGAGTTTGTGAAAACTTCAGTTTGACCCATCCCTAATTTAAATCAAAATTTGGAGTTAGTTTCTTAGTTATTAACCTTTAAGTATGCTATATAGTTCATAAGATATCGGGGCTCTCACAATTAGAAAATTATGGTACCTACCTAACTAATCTTAATTTATAATTAAAATAATTATACCTAATACCTACATGTATAATTTAAATTAGTAAATATTTGCAGGGCCGAATTGGTTAGGCGAGCTACCGAGAAAATCTCGGTGGGCCGCTTAAAGTTTGGGCCGGTCGTGTGAGTGTGAGTGAAAATAAATTTATGTTAAAATATGATTGGCCACCCCTATAAGCTCTTAATAATTATAGACATATTTTGGGCCACTGAATATGTAAATGGGCCACTTATAGAAGTGAAAATCTCGATGGGCCGATACATACCAATCCGGCTTCTTTCTATTTGGTACAATGAATAATAATAAGTAATAATTTATAAATTATTCATTTGAATTTCAGTATATTTTGATTTCAAATGCATCACTATTTTTAAAAAATGAAATTCAAAGAGGGTACCTAATTAAAAACTGAGATTTTCATTAGAAAAACATAAGTTTATATCACTATCAGAATTATACCGGTTGTCTCTTTGCAGGTAAGTAAGGTAGACTTAACAATTCCAAAATTCAGAATTTAAATAAATGCATATTTTAGGGTTAAGCAACTTAAGCAAGTTTGGTGTATGACCCTATATTATGTACAAATATTAGGTACATAAATAGTTTCAGAATCCTAAATACTGTATGTCATTACATAACAAAACAATATAAACAATTGAATATTTCAAAATTTTCAATGTTGGCATTTCAACATAGTTACTAACAAAGAGTAATAGCATTGAGTATATATAAGTATGTCTATAGGCATTCAATAGTCAATGGTAATAGGTAAATATAGTGTACATTTGTTGTTACTGCAGTATTGTACACTATACAAATATTACGACAGTTTTAGGAGGTTTAGGTATATACCTAGATAACAAAAACTTTTTAATAGTTATGTTATTATACCCTTTCATTATTTAATAATATATAATTTTAATTATTCTAAAACTATTTATTGCTACTTAATAAAATATATTTCTATAGAAATAGAAATTAACTAGGTAATAAAATGTCCCTATATTTTTATCATAGGTTCAAGAAAAAAATTATACCTAAGTAAAAACGAACATTTAACTATTCAATTTTTGATTTTAATACCTAGTAGGTTAGGTTTTAGTTTAAATAATCATTGATGTTTTTTTTTTTATATTGTTTTTTATTTAAACACAAATAAGTAAGAACCTGAGGGTATACCTAACCAGAATTATTTAAAATCTTGTAGGTACCTATATTAGCTGTGCATAGTAAATTTATGTGTCACATAAGACATGTTAAACTATGTCTTACGAGATGTCTTATGTGGTCCGCAAGTTACTAACCTAACCAATTAGTAAATTTAATAATGGTAATTGGTGGCACAACTAAGGGGTTGCTGCAAATGTATTTTTTTTTATCTTAGCATTTTGTTCATATTATATTGATAACAATAATTGAGTTCTATGCATTATTTATTACGTAATTATATCATAGACTCATTAAAAAATATGAGATCAGATAAAATATTATAGGAGTTATCTACTAATAGTTGAGTATTGTACAATCTTGTGAAAAAAATGTCATTGGAAGTTTTTTGCCCAGGTAAATTACATATGTAGATTCTAGATATTTCATTAGGAACCTAGGTACTAAGATTAAGTATTTAGGTATTACATTTAAAGCAACCCATTTAAAAGTCAAATTTCTTAAAGTACCCACGAAAAATAACTCAAGTAATTAAATAGGTACATATTATTTATTTAAGAAAAACTACCGAAGTCAATGATGAAGAAAAATGTGTTGCATGTTATTGGAGTTCTAGGTACTGTTAAGTTTCCTATATTGGCACAATTATTAAAAATTAAGTTTAGATTATCAAAAAAAAAATCTTGAGATCATCTCAATGAGATGGATATAGTGGTATTGAATAATTTTTAAGACATGATAATAGTCAACCCTTCATTACCATTATAATATAAGTAGTTACATAATATTACATAAATCATTAAATAATAAATTAAATACCTGCACAGAATGTGTTTTGGTTATTTTTATGTTAATAAAAATTCTGATTTACCTATTCATTTTTTATACATTTTTTTTTTTAATTGTACTTTAGGATGTTATGAACATAAATTTATATTGTTGACTTAAAAGTAGAAATGCTGTGAACACATAATTTCAGCATCCCCAATATTTGAGCTCAAGTAGCGCCTAAAACTAATAAAACAAATTTAAGAGGTGATTAGGTGCATAATACAACTTATTACAGAATAATTAATTTTACAACATAAAGGATCATATACATTAGGTACCTAAATAAAAAAATATGAAACAATTTAAAAACTAAAATATAAAATTAATGAATTTACCTAATGTCTAATGCTAATTAGGTAAACCTAACACTTATCTGGTACAATAACCTATAGGTAGTGATAAATGGTTACTGATTAGTGCCCATCAGACAACACAATTCTAGGGATATGAATGAATTTATGTAAATAATTATATTTATATTTTCATGTAGGTATTAAATCTAATGAAGTACCCCAGGTACTTATATTATTTATTTTAAGATATAAAATAAATAAATTTAGGTATTACCTGATAAGACAGTCATAAGTGCAAGAGCAGATATAGCACCTGTGAATACTGTAATTCTTGAATGTCGCATGGCCATAATAGCGGCAATGAAAAATGTTTTGTCGCCCAACTCCGAGACAATTATCACAGAAAGTGATGCAACAAAGGCATGTACCAATCCCAGAGAAACGGTAGGTGTATGTTTCGTTGTTTGCTCAGACGTCAGTGAATCGCCAACGTCCGGTACAATTGTAGGTAGTAGATCTTCATTTTCGTCTACTGGGAGTGAACTGGCTATAGCCGTGGCTATCAGGACCACACACAGCACACTGACTTTTGCAAACATTATTCTTGATATGAAACTTTCCCAGCAAGGTCAATAAATTACAATAAAGAGTATACCCTAACACGGATTGGGTACATGCATAAAGTGTCAACGATTGACGGCGCACCAACTTCACATAGTCAAAATAACGTTAAAATAAACTATACAAGTTTTGGTAAGTAATGAAAAAACTAACTCAAAACCACTTGTACAAAAAATATTTATGTATGTAGTAATAACAATAAAACCAACGATACTAACAGACAACAGTACCTAATAGTAATATTATAGTTTATGATTACTGATGAGTAAAGTTATATTTCGTAAAAAATAATGTACGGCAAGAGAACACAATTGAAATTACGGGCTTAACACGACACGCGTCCAACAATTGTCGAGCCATCTCCGCAATTAACGAACGTTCGCAATCGGCACTTCGGCAGGCCCGACGATTATAGGCGGTTAGTGGTTACGTGAAGTGTTTACCGCACGAGAGGTAAGAGCGGCGTGCGTTTCAGCGTTCGTCTGTTGTCGTCGACGACGACGATGATGATGATTGGTGTTGGACCGAGAGCGCGCGTGTGCGTAGTCGGTTCGGGCGTTCGGCTTTCACGTGAACACTGAACAGTGAACGGCGCACTACAATGCTACAAGTTATGGTTTTTTTAGTACACTGATCTAGCATTACAGTGATATCCACAAAACGTTATCGCCGCCTTGCGGCGTGCACACTCGTCACTCGTGCAGTCGTGCGATACTGCGATGCCGCCGGGCGCCGTTGCAGGTTTGTGACGTTTGTGTTAGGTTTTGAGCAATGAGCATTCCGAGCAGTGTCGAACTGTCGATAAGTGGTGGTCGTCCACGGTTGTCCGGCGGGTCGCGGTTCGTTCGCGGCGACTCGATGTCAACGTTGAGTCGTTGAGTGTATACCATACTATAATAATATGTTGTATAATATTAACTGTATTAATAACAGATTTTCTATTTTCTATAATATTTTATATTTACACATATTTTGATTTCTGTTTTCTGCCGTGCGACTTTAACTATAAAAGTGTGTTATTGTACATTTGCACAATAAATTGTTGTATACCTAGGTATTACAATAACAATAATATACGACATACAGTAGCGTAAATTGGGTGTGCAAATGTAGCACTTGCACCACCAGAAAATCATAACAATTTATATACCTATAGTTTCTACAAGTAGGTACATATTTTAGAATTCTATGTAGTATCTAGAGATTTTCTTCAAAGTACGCGTTGGCCGACGTCTTATCGTGAAAATAATTATATATACCTATTTTATATAGCCATATAGCCATATAGGTACTCATATCAGTCATATCTATATAAATTATAACTAATAACTTATGAGAAATATTAATAAAGGGACTATTGAGCAACGATTAATGTAGATACTCGATAACGATCACCAATGGCCAATGGGCAATATACAATAACAGAGGCGCTCGTTGAGTCTGGTTAGATCATTTCGAGCGTCGAGCCCTCTAGGACAAAGTATTTGGAATAATATAAAAATATCCACCCTCCCACAGACCGACCTATGTACGCATTGTACACATAATAATGTGTTAGCAGATTCGACATTTCCATGTCTGGGACAACGTGTTTTGGTCGAATTAAATATATGGGTAGGAAATTTGGAAGAAAGTTACCGGCACTCATATAATATTTTATCACGTCCAGTAACTATAAATGTACATAAATAAACGACAAAAAAAATGAATATTCTTGATTGCATTGCGCAAATTAGCAAAATATTATTATTTATTTATTTATGTATTTATCTATGGCGGCGGTGTGTGGTGTGTCACAGAGACGAGTTCGTCAGCTGTTCGTCCACGCCGCCACCGACTACGGTAGAGCTGGCGGTATTTTCCGTACCTACACTGGTAATTACCTGTATTTTCGGTGTTTTAGAATACCTGTATACCGTGGATCGGTAATTACCGAAAACACTGTAAATCTACTTTTATTATTTATTACCTATTTATATACAATTGTAATGACATAATATAATCATGGTCGCCCATTGGGGGGGAAGACAGGGCACTTCCCCCCCACCTGGAAAAAATATTATGAACTTGTAGTTCAATAAATATTACATTAGGTCGTAGTGTGTAGTCCGTATAGGTTAGGTACCTATACTTAAAGTTATTTTCGTAGATAATTTGTGGTAAATCCATAAAGATCACAATATTGAATATAGGTACCTACTACAAATATTTTATCAGACAACCTTCAAAATCGTTCAGTGCATTAAGACGAGTAAAAACGTGGCTTCGCTCGACTACAGGAGAAGATCGTTTAAATGGGTTGTGTATGATGAGCCTTCATCGTGAAAGAGTTAACGCAAACAAGGATCCTTCAGGATATCATTAATATGTTTGGAATAAAACGAAGAAATTTGCAGTAATTATTTACTGTTACCGAATAATATACTTAATTATATTATTTAATAATTTCTATTTTTTTATATACTTATTAAAATTATTATTTAATTATTTATTTATTCGTATGGCAATTATTATTTATTTATTTATTCATATGACAATTATTCCGTTCAGAATCTAATATAACATGCATGTATACATTTATATGTGAAAAATAACATTAAATCTTTATTATCTTACATTCGAAATTTTTTTATTTTGAACCAACCTAAAATGTTACCTATGGGCGCCCATGAATATAATAGCCCTATCAGTGGCGTGTATCATAAAAAAAATTGGTGTTGCTCAAATAATTTTAGGTGACCTACCCCTCATAATACTGTTACCGACCTATACAATTTCCTATTTTTTTTCTATCAATACCACCCACCCATATTTAAGGTGTTGCCTGAGCAACACTTGGACCCCATGTTACACGCCACTGAGCCCTATCCTCCTAGGTTGAAAACTTGGAATCACTAAGAAATTTGCTGAGGTACGGTATTTTCTATAATTATCGAAAATACCCTATAACCGGTAATAAACAAATACCGGACACCGGAATTAAAATTTGAAAATTGCACACTATAGAGTTAAAAAATAATAATATTTTTTCCAGTTATTACTTATAAACTATTATTACTTTTAAACTGAAACATAGTTGAAATAAAATTAAATATATATAATATAAATTATAAGTATATAATATTTTAAATATTTTATTCGAACCTTAATATAAAACTAACCTAACCTTAAATATAAATATCATTTTTTTAATACTTATATCTATTATTATACCTACCTAATAAGTATTATGATAAAATTATATTTTTTGACTTATTTTGTCGGTACACTAATATCATTAGGTACTAATATAAAATAAGTAATAACTGGAAAAAATATTATTATTTTTTAACTCTATAGTGTGCAATTATTAAATCTTTACGTTAGGGTTCCTAAACTTTAAAATTCAATAATTTATAATTGGCGGAAAAAGGAATGACGTTTTTTCTGATTTGGCGGAAAAAGGTATTGGCGGAAAACGGAAAGGTAATTTTTGGTGGAAACCGGTGACACCCCTTATTCCTTAATGTGTTGGCTTTATTTGCATGTCACAAGTCAATACAATAATAATGCCAGACGAGGTTACCGATGAACTGAGCATCCAAAAAATTAGAAAACTGGATTTTGTATTATAACTATTTTTTTGTTTTATCTTATTAAACACTGGATTTTCACTAGTATGAATTTATAATAAATGCTATTAAGTATTAGCCATTAGGTACTGTATAGTTTGTGTTAATTCGTATTTTTCCTTGATCCACACTTACTTCAATAGCTGACAATAGGTAACAAGTAATTGGATTTCAAAAATGTATATTATGTAGGTACCTATTTATAGGTGTATTATTATATATTTCATCCCTCCCCGACAAAATCTCTCTCCGACTTGATGGTGCCACCGCGGTATTGGTAATTTATATCCGGCTAAATTTTAGTATTTTACCGCAACCAATACCATTATACCAAATACCAATTCCTTGATGCGTGGTCAAAAGGAGTTAAGTTATGTTTTGTTAAAAATCATGTTTTGACTTCTTTATATTCGAAAAAAAATCTCGATTATTGGTACAAACAAGTTAAGTCACCAAATAATCTGGTAGCTGTGAATGTGATGTGTATAAAAGATATGTTTCAAATTTTAATTTCTATTAAGATATCAAAGAGTTATGTCAATTTATATCGTTCTGATAATCAGAATCAGAATCTGATTTAATAATAAAATACAATTTAAACATATTATTGGATTAAGTCAACTTAAATCATTTCAGTTTAAACATAATCAATTTCATTTTAAAATCAATTGGGGTTAAGTAATTTAAAATAGATATTATAAGCTTAAGTCCTACATTTTTTTAAAAATATGATCAGGAGTTAAGTTTTGATCAAAATGAAATAAGTCATTTTTCTAAAAAGTGATTATGAGTTAGATACACAAAAAGTATAACAAATCACATTTTTTTATAACTTTGAGAACCAAACTTAAAATTAAAACTTAAAAGTATACATTAGTTTGAAATGGGTATAACAAAGTTTATTCAATAAAAAGTTGCTCTGCTGTACAGTAGGTTACAAGTGGGTCACTGTAATGGATGGTGTTAAATTTGAATTCAATGATATAATATCATTGTATAAGAAAAATGATTCTGAACGAAAACGGTCAGTCAGCTTATGATGTAACAAAGAATATTTATTATTTAATGATATTATTGTGAATAAAGTAATTTATATATAACATATTTACGTGGAACCTTGTTTTAAATTTTCAATCATTGGCTATAAAAGTTGAACATTTTATAAACTTTTAACTACAAAATAATTATTTCGTTATAAATTTGATACATTTTGTCAAAATTCGAACTTTAAATGCTTATAAAAAAAATGTGTGCCTATGTATTTTTAATATTTTTCAACTACTATTGTAGCAACTGGCAAGGTATTGAATTAAATGATGTGTGCGGTGTGCCTAAACTATGATAATTTATAGCTATATAGGGACTTG